AAACCCACGAGGGAATATAATTTTGGTCATCATATTCTGTTTTTTCAGCTCCAGTTTTCTCAGATTTTCAAGACTGCTGTCAATTACATAACCGTTAAAAAACAAAAGTTTTGGGCATAGCTCCCCCCCGCCATTCTCTCTCTCGTGGTAATATCACGCATCTGCTTGAACGGGCCTTGGCGTGCCCAGACTGAAGTGACCCTGAAGGTGCCTGTGAGGGTGTTTCTGGACGAGAAGAGCATCTGGTTTGGCGGGCTGAGCCCTCCCCAAAACCGGTGGGCGTCAGGCAAGCCCTGGAAGGCCTGACTGGAGAGAAAGGTGGAGGAAGAGGGACCGCCTCCCGCCTGATAGCTGAGCTGGGACATGATCCTCTCCTGCCCTTCACAGCACTGCACACGCCCTCCCCAGTTTGCAGCTGACAGCCAGCCTCCACAGAGCAAACTCCTTGAACATGCATGCAGACAGCAAATGGAGTCAGTCCTCTTGAGCAGAGATGCGACCCTCCAGGAGCAGGGACCGTCGAGACCAGCACAGGCCAACAGCACCAGGAACTGATAACCAGGAGAACCAGGAGAACCGGGAGAGACCGGCAAAGGCCCACCATCAATTCAACTCCTTTAAAAGGCAGGACCTTTGCAGCAAGTGTTGACTCTCCAGATGATGACGCTTTCACGTCTGACTGGATCAGAAGGCAACTGCCACCAAGTTCTGTCCAATTGATCTCTGAACAGGGAGAGCTCCCGCCCCACCCCGCCACCACCCACCACGGCCCGGACACAACGAATACTTTATCCTCATCTCAACTGCTCGCTCACAGGCTGACTTTGCATTTGGTTTATTAACAACTTATCCCCTTGCATCTTGTTTGTTGTGTGATTTTCTTACGCGCTTTGGTTTGTGTGAGATATATGAAGCCAAAATGACATGTGCAATGAAACGTCATTGAGTTTGGGACCCTAAACCTGCTTTAACCTTGCTTTACAACTGAATAAAGCTGACATTCTGGGAAAACACAACCCGTGTGTGCTCTTAGTGCGCTCACGACAACAGACACAGATCCCTGTACATGTGTCTTTGCAGCTTCTGCTCCTCTGGGAACTCCGACTGACACCCTAACAGGGAAGTAAAATATTGTCAGCCCACCCACCACAGGGACTAGCAGGTTCTTTTTTTAACAGTATTTTCATTGGCACATGGCGCTCTCCACCAAAGTGAGTTCTCACTCCAAGCAGACAGATGAACGCAGACGGTACACACATTCCCGCCAAACCTGTGGTACCGAACCCCAGGCCAGCTCCACTGGAGTTGTGCAGCTACAGGGGCCGCGTGAAGCGGGATAAGGGAGTTAATCTGTGCGGGTTCAGGACAGGGTGAAGCAGAGAATGGTGTGAGGGGTGTGTCCTTCAGACACTACCAACGCCTGTGGTGTTTTCATCATACTGTAGTAGACAACAGATCATCCACCGTATGCTCTTACAAATATTTTACATTATCTACAAAAAAGCCCCACAAAACTCCCAAAAAACCAAAAGCCAAGTATTTTAGATTATAAATTTCCAGTCTGAAAGAACTTTACGTAAGTTTTTCTTTTGCTTTTATTACAAGCATATAATATTAATTGGCAAAACACTGAGTACAAGCTTCACTATCATAAAATCAAAACATTTAAGCAATATTCCAAAAAAGATTTTAGACAAAAACTAGCCACCAATAGTACAAAAATTACACACCAACACAAAGCATAAAAAATGTAAACTTTCAAATTAAACAGTCAAAAATATGTATCTGCATTGTCATCTCAGTAAACCGCAACATGTGTGACGATCAGGCTAACGGTGGCTCACACCCCTGGACCCTTCATCATTTGGGGAAAAATGGTTTCCTTAGACCCAATTAAATTGTCGGAATAGACATTTACACTAATGCTACACACATTTTAGGGGACACTCAAACGTCAGTCCATCCTTCAGATGCGCTCATGGATGTGGTGAACCACACGCGATGCAGGTGGAGGGGGGGGGGGGGGGTTGCGCAGGCAGAGCCTCCTTGGTGGGCTGGTGGCTGGCCGCGCCACCTGGGTCCCTGCCTGGCAGGGACAGAACCTTTGCAAAATTATGGTTAGTGTGAATAATGATTTTCTAATCTACTTATCCCAATTTCTGTAGTTTGTTGAAATACCAAGGCAGAGAAACCCACTGGCTTATCATGCAAAGGTCACACGTGATGTGCTGGAGTGTTAATGATTTCCTGAGGAAACAGAGAAACTGGATATTTTCTGATTTGGCTACCTGCGCTGTTTACTTTCAACATCTTGAGAGCATATCTAATATTCACGCATAAAGTAGAAATCAGCTGGCTCGTTCCTAGAACAATTGATCCAATGACACATTTTAAGTTGCTCTAAAATGCCCGCCTGTGAGCTTTGAGGAAAAAAATGAAACGAATTTCTAAAGACTTCACCACAAGGAGGCATCAGAGGCTGCACGACCCGGAGGGCTTGGGCCGCACGGGGAGTAGCACCGTCCCACGTATGGTCGATACGCGGTGGCATATCCAGGGCTGTGAGCATGCAGGGTCTGAAGACAGGGGACCTGGGGCGGCCACACAGCGCTTGGTAGCTGCCTGCCCGGTCAGGCGCCCTCAGATGTTGTGGACAGGTGTTTTCGCACGGGGCACACACACAAACCATCCCCAAACAGTGTTCTTGGAACAACAGTGAGAAGGAAAGACCAAATAGCTGAATGCACATATTTTGAAATTCCACCGACATTCCCTTTCGATTTAGCAGAAGAGATGCGACATTACAATTTAAACAGATATCTAATAAATGCATCTTGGAAACCTATCGCACAAAAGCATGAACGATGCTCTTCATCTATATGAAACAAAAACGTACAAGTTAAAAGCTACTCAAAGTAAAAAGAAGAAGCTTGCAAAACATGTCACAATTTCATTTTATATGCCTGTAAATAAAGCTGGACCACGGAAACCAAACAATTGGATGGGAAAATATGATAGAAGGCTTAAAATAGAATAAATAATTTTATAAAGTTAAGTTTTCTTTTTTTTAACCCCCCAAATCTTAAATTCAATATTATATATTCTATCTGAATTTTCTATCTTCATGAGAACTGCACGTAGTGAGCCCGCATGCTGGGGAGCGGGTCCCACTGCCATTGATGGTGACGCAGGAAGGTGACTGAATAGCATGTGTGTTATTACCAGCGTCAACAGTCGTGAAGACCACTTCACAGGAACTCCGTCTGTTACAAAAGAAACTGATCCTGGCTTGCATGCTGGAAAAAACGAAACTCAGCCTTTCGAGGTGAAATGAAAGCGTGCCAGTGGGGAGGGGACCACAGAAGTCGCCCTGGGACACGGGCTCTGGACTCCCGTCTGCCGAGGGCTGCGGGTCCCTGGGGCCGCCCTGCAGTGAAGACAGTCTGCGTGAGGAATCTTAGAAAAATAGTAGGTCTGCAGCTGAGGTTTTGTCAGGGTAACACGATTACAAAAGGGGGTCACGGGTGGGTCAGCAGCCAGCCGGCAGTGTGAGCGCTGGCCTTGACCACCTCCACCTGTGTATCGAAATACATCCACTTAGCACCATAGCAAATTCAAGTGATTCCAAAGATAGCTACAAAGTCACAAATATCTATTAGGAGATTCTGACAGCGACACTCAGTCTGACCTGAACTGTGAGTTGATATCGTTTGAATTTGGATGCTTACACTGTGGGACCCTCCCCTCCACCGCCGCCCAGGAGAACAGCGGAGTTCCAACGCCAGAGCCCAGACCGCACCGTGCTTAGTGTGGCTTCAGCAACAATGTGTATGTTGAGGTAGACAGGTCATATGCACTCATACACACCTACTCAGTGACCCTCGTGGAGCGACCCGCAGACGTGATTCGGACGGACAGCAAGCTAGCGAACTGAACACGGCAAACAGCACCGGGGGTGAAGGGGCTTCAGGGAGGGGTGACTGGTGACCAATTCCTAACAGAACCTGCTTCGAGGCTTCTAAAAGGCCTTATGTTAGAATCACTTGGATTGAATTAATTTGAATGGTTTTCTTGTCACCAAGATTAGGTCTCACGTATATTAACAGAAAAGGAAACAGAAAAAACCCCACCATAACATTCAAAGCAAATGTGAGAAGAAACTCCAGACAGGATGGTGACACATTCCATGAACAAAGGAGGTGGGCGGCTGCGGCTGCCTGGGGGTGACTGAGGACGAGGGGGAGGAACCCAGAGCTCACAGACAAATGGACGGTGCGGGCAGACGGAGAGGACAAGGATGGCCACAGAACCCCAGAACACTTTCACAACCCCGGAAAATGGCTGCTTTCTCCTCCTGCCTTTCCATGTTCCCAGTTACTGTTTTAAAGGGACAAATACTTAATGTGCCGTCAGAGTTTATTCACTAATCCCACAAAAATGTTAACACTTGGGAGGAGAAAGGGGTAGACAAAGTGTGTGCTGCCTGTGACTGGCAGGTCACCAAGGAACTGAAAGAGCAGCCGGCAGGCTCCTCCGAAGCTCGCTGGAGGGTACCCCCCCAACACCCCCGTCCACGGGGCAGCGTGGGGTGGACATGGCGGGAACCTCAGTCTGCACGCCCCGGGTGCCAGCCGTCCTCTGACTGACGGCACCTTCTCAGGGAGACCCTATACAATGCCACCACCTCTCTCTTCAGCACGATGAACCCGGGAAAGAATTAAGTGGGGAACTTTAGTTCCTGAAGGGTCAGAGCCCTATTGAACACCAGTCCCGTCTGAGAACAAGAACGGCTCTGCAAACCAGCATTAAGCTGGCCAAGCCACCTCTGATCTACCCTGTGGGGAGCGCCCATATCTGGGGAGCAGCAGGTGGAGCCCCCCACCTCACCTCGGGGCCTCAGAGCCCAGAGCCCCAGGCCAGGCAGGGGAGCTATGGGCTTGTCACGGTTCCTAACGTGGTGGATGATGAAATACCTTGGCGAACTCATAGAATTAATGGAATGGTTTTAAATTAACCCTTTATATACCTTCTGAGTCTTCAGGAAGCTAAAGGCAACATAAATACTGTCATTCACCATGAAGAGAGATTTTTCAATAACTTAGGAAGGGTTCAGTAAATGTACAAGGATTTTTGAGGCTTAGCATGAACCCTAATTCATAAACGCAACGGAAATGACCGGATTTCCAAGGCCCGGGAAGCAAGCACAGGTCGCCTGGCCACCATGTTTACCATCTGGTCTGTGAGAGGCGCCCCTTCTGCCGCTGAGACTGTGAAGTGTTTCGTCGTCTTGTAACCGTGGTGCTGGTAGTGTCTTGCTGAGTGTGAATTCTCTCATACAAAAGTTATAAATACTCTCTATTCAGAAGTCTGGTCCCCACAACACCCGCAGGTGGCACGGAGGGCAGCAGAGCCGGCCCAGGGCTAGGCTCAGAGCAGGTCCATCTTGGGTCTGTAGTGGAGCAGGAGCGGCGCCTTCTGTAAGACAAAGTCAGAGAGTCAGCCACCAGCCACGCGGATGGCCCCCCTTCCTGGGGCCCGGGTGACCTGGGACCTGTGCACACCTGCTGCCCCACCTGGTCCCGCTAGCTGTCACCCCCGTTCCAGGCTGCCCCTCAAGTCAGGGTCCTGCCATCTGCTTCCTGCATCGGTGAGGGTCCCCCGCACCCTCTGAATGCAGCAGCCCACCACAGGGTGGTCAGGGGATGGTGCTTGCCCAAAACCCCGTGTGGCTGCAGCATGGATGGCAGCACAATGATTGTCTTTCACAATGCTGTGACAGTTACTTCTAAGCTCTTAGTTGAAAAATATGCACAGAAAAGTAGTTGCCATTTGCAGCCAACAACCCAACCTTTCCAAAGTCTCACCTTGAATCTCCACCTTGTGACAACCACAAATTTGAGTGTGTGGTCCTTGCCCAGGATTTCCTCGTTGCATAAAATGTCCAGCTGGTGGGAGAAGAAGGCTTCAGTCAGGGTGCCAAGGGCACGGCGCTCGGCACATCTGCCCCCTGGGCCACGCTGGTTATGCCAGTTGGGCCACACGATGTCAGTTGCCTGTGTGTGGGGGGGTGTCCTGTCTCCAGGTGGCACAGGTGGGGACTGCTCAGAAGGCACATGAGGGCCACCCCAACCCACATGAGGGCCAGGAGCATCTGGCGCCTGGGGGGGTCCACACTCACCATGGCCCCCCCAGGGCCCTCAGCTGCGGTTACCACACTGCATCTGTCTCCCCACCTTGGTCCATTCTTGGCCAAGTTTGTCCCTCTTATCTCAGTGGAAAAAGTAAATGGCCTCTTCAGATAGTCTTTTTCCTTTTTTTTTTTTTTTTTTTTGGTAAGATGGTATTTATTTATTTGAGAGAAGCATGCGGGTGGTGGGGAGGGCCAGAGGGAAGGAGAGAGAGGAGAGAGAAAGAGAGGGAAAAGCAGATTCCCCACTGAGTAGACAGCCTGATGTGGGATTTAATCCCAGGATACTGGGATCATTACCTGAGCTAAAGGCAGATGCTTAATGACTGAGCCATCCAGGCACCCCTTTCCTTTCTTTTTAAAAAAGACTATTTTTAGAGCAGTTCGAGGGTGAGAGCACCAAGGAGGGCAGAGAGAGATGTCCCATGCACCCCAGCCCCCCGTGAGCCACATCCACACCGGAGTGGACGTCCCTTATGGTGGACCAGTCTCCACAGACACGACACCATCACCCAGCGTCCACAGATGACATTGGGGTCCCCCCTGGGGGGGGACGTTCTATGGGTCTGGATGAGGGCATCAGGACAGGCCCCCACTGCAGTATCACCGAGTTGCTTCCCGGCCCCCACATGCCCCTTGCTCCCCCTGTTTGCCCTCCTCTCCCCAGCCCCGACAACTGCAGGTCTTGTCACTGTCCCCGTGGTTCTGCCCTTCCCAGGATGTCCCACAGCTGGAATTCTGCTGCGTCTTTCCTTAGTGACGTGCATTTAAGACTCCTCCGTGTCTCTTCACGGCTTGGGTGCTCGTTTCTCATGAAAATATGTAACAGGTCTGCGTGGAGCACAGCTAATTCACCCACTCACACATGGAAGGACGTCTTGGTGGTTCTCAGGTTTTGGCGATTGTGAAGAAAGCTGCTGTAAACAATGGCGTGCAGGTTTTCGTGTGGACGTAAGGTTTCAGTTAATTCGGGGGGACCCCACGGAGTGGGACTGCTGGGCCACATGGTGAGAGTGTATTTAGTTTTATAAGAAACGGCCAAATTGTCTCCACCAGCCGTGGACAGGAGTCCCTGTTGCTCCACACCCTTGCCAGCATGTGGTGGTCAGAGTTCTGGATTTTGGCCCTTCTGACAGGTGTGGAGTGGTGTCTCATTGTTTGAATTTGTTTCCCTGATGACAAATGATGCTGACTCAGATGGTCTTTTAAACTGCTCCCTCAGGGCAAGGGGAAGAAGGCTCTTGCGTTTGCAGGAGGGCTGGGCTGGGGAGAACACTTGGGGAGGCCGGGGGCTGGCTCTGAACCCCACCTCCCCCAGGCAGGCCCCTCCCACACGCCGACCCTCTGGATGACCTTATCATGACCCTGGGCTCCAAATGGCTCCACATGCCAAGGACCCCAACCTTAACCAGGGGCTCTGACACTCACCTTTTAGTTCACTTTCCACTGTACAGGGGCAGTGGCCACAGCAGCCTGTCCCCAGAGGCCGTCCACCCAGGAGCACAGCCCGAACTTGCTCCCCACTTGCAGCCCCACTGGAGAGACCAGCAAATCATTTTGGCTATCTCAGTATCAGTCTCCACGGCTGCCCCGAAACCCCACTGCTGGGGGGTTGAAAACTACAGACTGAACCTCTCAGAGTCCCGCCTGAAGCCAGTAGGCCACGTCCCTCCAGCTCTGCTCCATCTGCACAGCTTTGTGCTAGCTCCGGGCCTCAGACCACCTTCTGCCTCTCTTTATGAGTATCAAGAGTTCATTCCTTTTTTTTTTTTTTAATGTGGTAAAATACACATAAAATTTACCATTTTATCATTCAAAATGTTGCAAACAGCCCCACCCTCTACCTCCAGAACTTTCTCCTCTTCCCAAACTGCCCCCAAGAAACACTAGCTCCCCATCTCTCCCTGTCCCCCAGCCCGACATCCACCAAGCACACCCTGTCTCTATGATCTCACTCCTCTGGGGACTCACAGAAGTGGGGTCACACAGTGTCGTTCCTTTGTGGTTGCTCATGTCACTGAGCACAGTGTCCTTGGAGTCCACCCCGGTGGGAGCAGGTGTCAGAATGTCATTCCTGTTTAAGGCTGGAGAATGTTCCATTGTGTGGATTGTATGTCCATTTTGTTTATCCGCTCATCCATCCATCCATCCATCCTTCTATCTCTCCATCAGCCTATCCTGTCTATCCTCTTATCCATCATCATCTGTCCCTCTATCCATCCGTCTGTCCATCATCCCTCAATCCATGCATTCATCCATCCATCCTTCTAGCTCTCTATCCATCCACCCATCCGTCCATCCATTTGTCTGTCCATCCATCCTTCCATCCATCCGACCGTCTGTCCATCCACCCGTCCGCAGACACTAGGGTGCCTCCCTGTCTCAGCTGTGGTGCGTAACGCTGCCATGATCATGGTGATGCCAGCATCTCATTAAGACCCCGCTTTCCATTCTCCAGGGAACACACCCAGATGTGGAACTGCTGGACGATACAGTGATTGTATGTTTAATTTTTTGAGGACCGTCCACAGTTTTCCACAGTGGCTGCACCATTTTATGCTCCATCACCTCCCTCCCCGAATGGTGCACAGGGTCCTGTTTCCCCATATCCTCGCCATCTTTTACTTTCTTGTTATTCACTCATTTTTTTACAGTAGCCATCCTAATAGGTATGAGGAGGTTCTCACTGTAGTTTTGATTTGCATTTTCCCTAACAGTGATACCGAGCACCCTTTCATGGCTATTGGCTGTTTGTGTCTTCTTTGGAGAAATGTCTAATCTCTTTGCCCATTTTAAAATCAGGTTGTACGATTTCTTTTATGCTATGTTTTAAGAGTTCTCTGTATATTCAGGATAATAATCCATTATCAGATGTATGGCTTGCAAATAATTTCTCACATTCTGTATAAAATTTTTTTATTTTCAGAAAGTCCAATTTGTCTATTTTTTAAATTTTGTGACTGTGCCTTTACTGCCCCATCTAAGAAATCATTGCCAAATCCACTGTCATGAAGCTTTTTGTCCTATGTGTTCTTCTAAGAGCTTTACTATTTTAGGTCTGACATTTAGGTCCTTGATCTACTTTAAGTTAACTTTTGCATATGGTGTGAGGTAGGGATCCAACACCATTCTTTTGCATGGTGATGTTTTTTTAGCATCATTTGTTGAAATGACTATCCTCTCCCCACTAAGTGGTCTTGGTACCTTTGTTGAACATCACTTGACCACATACATAAGGGTTCATTTCTGGACTCTCTATTCAATTCCATTGATCTAGATGTCTGTCTTTATGCCAATATCACACTTTTTTACTAATGTAGCTTTACAGTAAAAGTTTTGAAATTAGGAAGCGTGGTTCCTCCAGTTATGTTCTTTTTCAGGATTGTTTTGGGTACTCAGGGTCCACAGATATTTAATAAAATTTAGGATTGGTTTTTGGTTTTTGCATAAAGATCATTGGGATTTTGATAGGGATTGCTCTAACTATAGACTGTTTAGGTAGTATTAACATTTTAACAACATCAAGTCTTCCAATCCATCCACTTGGGATACGTTTCCATTTATTTATGCCTTCTTTAATTCCTTGCAGCAATTTTTGTAGTTTTTATTGTACAAGTCTTTCACTTCCTTGATTAATTCCTAAGTATTTTATTCTTTTTGATGCAATTATAAATTAAATTTTCTTTTATAATTTCATTTTCAGATTATTCATGGCTAATGTGCAGAAATCCAGCCGATTTTTGTGTTTTGTGTCTTGCCAACTTACTGAATTAATTTATTAGTTCTAACGTGTGTGTGTGTGTGTGTGTGTAATCTTTGCGATTTTCTACATGTAAGATCATATTATCTGCAGACAGAAATAATTTGAATTCTTCCTTTTCAATTTGGATGTGTTTTATATATTCTTCCTCCCTAACTGCTCTGGCTAGAACATCCAGTCCCATGTTGGATAGAAGTGGTGAAAGCAGCATCCCTACTTTGTTCCTGATCTTAAAGAAAACACTGTTAAGTCTTTCACCAGTGAGTCTGATGCTTGTAGTGGGTTTTCATATATGGCTTTTATTTTCATATGTCTTCCATTCCTAGTTTGTTGAGTTTTTGTTTTTGTTTTTTTTTTTAATCACGAAAGGGTATATTGAATTTTGTCAAATGCTTTGCAGACCTACATCAGTTGAGAAGATCATGTGGTTTCCCTCTCGATCCTGTTGCTGGGACATATTACCCTGATCAGTTTTTGTATGTTGAACCACAGTTCCATTTCAGAAATACCCACTTAGTCATGGTATATAGTCCTTGTAACATGCTGCTGAATTCTGTTTGCTAGTATTTCATGGAGGATTTTTGCATCTGTGCTCATCATGGATGTTGGTCTACAGTTTTCTGTTCCTACAGTGTCTCTGTCCGACTTTGATATCAGGGTAAGGCTGGCCCCATAGAATGAGCTGGGAAGTTTCTCTCCCTTTCAGTTTTTGGGAAAAGTTGGGGAAGGATTGGTGTTAATTCTTCTTTAAGTGGTAGAAGTCACCTATGAAGCCATCCGGTTCTGAGCTTTGTTCTCTTGGGGATTTCTGATTACTGGTTCAGTCTTCTTACCAGTCGTAGGTCTGTTCAGACTTTCTGCATCTCTGTGATAGGTAGGTTCTGTGTTTCCAGGAATTTGTCCACTTATCTAGGTTATCCTATTTGCTTGAACCTTGGTAGGTTCTGTGTTTCCAGGAATTTGTCCACTTATCTAGGTTATCCTATTTGCTGGTGTACAATGGTTCACAGTGTTCTCTGACAATCCCTTTTATTTCTGTAGAATTGGTAATAATGCCTCTGCTTTCATTTTAGATTTTAATAGTTTGTCTTTATTCTTAATCCATTAGTCCAAAGTTTGTCAAAAACTTAAATATGGTTTTTAAAGATTTTATTTATTTGAGAGAGAGAGAGAACATAGAGGGGTGTGGGCAAGGGACAAGCAGACTCTGTGCTAAGCACAGAGCCTAATCTAGGGTTCAGTTCCACGACCCGGAGATCATACCCCAAGCTGAAATCAAGTCTTAACCAACTGAGCCACCCAGGCGCCCTGTCAATTTTATTGACCTTTTCAAAGAACTGCAGAATTTCTCTATTGTTTTTCTGTTTTCTATTCCATTTATTTTTGCTTTAATCTTTAGTATTTCTTTCTTCTGCTAAATTTGGGTTTAGTTTGTTCTTTTTCTAGTTTTTCAAGTTGTAAATTTAGGTTGTTGATGAGATCTTTCTTGTTTTTAATGTAAGTATTGATAGCATCAATTTCCCCCTTCGCACTGCTTTTGCTATATTCCACAGATTTTGGCAAGTTATGTTTTCACTTTCATTTGTCTCTAAGTATTTTCCAATTTCTCTTGGATCCATTAGTTGTTCAAGTGTGTTAATTAGGGGTGCCTGGGTGGCTCAGTTGGCTAAGTGTTTGCCTTTGGCTCAGGTCATGATGGTGGGGTCCTGGGATTGAGTCCTGTGGGGGGCTCCCTGCTTGAAGGGGAGTCTGCTTCTCCCTCTCCCTCTGCTGCTCCCCCTGCTTGTGTTCTTTCTCTCAAATAAGTAAATAAAATCTCTTTTAAAAAGTGTGCTGTTTAATTTCCACAGTTTTGTGAACTTTCCAGTTTTCCTTCTGTTACTGATTTCTAACTTAATGCTGCTGTAGTCAGAGAAGACAGTTTGTAAGATATCTACCTTTTAAAATTGACTGAGGCAATTTGTGTCTGCTCTCCTCTTATAACGACCTTTGTCACTGAATTTAGGGCCCAGCTGGATGATCTAGGATGATCTCTTCATTTCAAGATTCTCGACACACTGACGAAGACCTTTTTTCTAATAAAGTCATGTTCACATGTGCTGGGGGTTAGGAAATGGACACATCTTTTGGTGGGGGTCACCATTTAACCAAGTATGGTCTGCCTTCTGGTTCCTCAAATCCACATCTGTCCCATATGCAGAATATATTCACCCCATCCCAACATCTTAGCGTAAGTGCTGCTGCCTCAGGAAGGCTCCCCAAGAATCTGAGCCAAGGTACTCACCCCAGCTGCCAGCCACCAACCCCTGTGCATACCAGAGGTGCGGACTTTCATTCAATTCCTGTCATTTACCACAAAATACCTGAAAGTATTTTACCTTATCGACCTTCCCAACCATTTCACCCCCTACCCAGCCAATAACCCATTTGTGAAATTACAGAACAGTGTTTCTCTTCGAGAGCCAGGCCTTTCATACATCTCAGCCTCTCCCTGCCATCCCCGGTGCTGTCTCTCCTGTTAGGGGGCTCCCCATGCCCTCGTCTGGCCACACAATGTCCCATCACACTATCTGGGAGCCCGCAAAACAAACCAAGGTTTTTTTTTTTTTTCTGATTTTAAATCTCCAAAGATGTAAAAACAAAAAACCCCGAAGACCTTTAGAAGTATCACTTCCACAAATGAGGAAAGATTTGCTACAGTTTCTGTTTAGCGGTACAACTATTACCTCGTTGAAAGACGAAAGGTTAAGTTTTTTGGCGATGAACTTCTTCAAGTGCAGGACTGTTGCTTGGGCCGAGCAGCGGATCCACTTCCGTTTCAAGCCCCGCAGTTTGCTGCTGTTGCACTCCAGACAGATGCTCACCTGGGAGAGAAAGACAGGCTGGCAGGCCTCCCGGGGGGGTGGGGGGGCGTGCTGTGCGGCTCAGAGGCTCTCGGAGAAGCTACTCATTCCAGTAAATGTGACAACACTGGCTTTGTGAAATCAGAAATCTGTTTTGACCTCAACACTGTGGAAGAGGGCTTTACTTTAGTTGTTATATACACATTATCTTAAAATCTCTATTTACCGTTTTGTGAAATATAATCTAACACTTTTAATTCTGTTTTATGAACATAGTACTTCAAAGTGAATCTGAGAATTATTTATTCATTGTACACACGGCGCTGGTCTCAGAGGGAAATGGACACAGACTGCAGCCCCGTCCTGAGCTTCTCCCCGAGCCCCATCCCATGGGCTGTGCAGAGCGCTCTGTTGGCGTGATGAGGAAGAACATGCAGCCAGCAGGGACAGGCACGCCTGACTCTGCATGAATGTGCCCAGGAAAGCTTTGTAAGGAAGCAGTAGGATGCCTGGCCTTGACACAGGATGGCAAAGTCACTAGAGAAGAAAGGACTCTGGGCTCAGGAAAAAAACCAGAAGCAAAGGCACAAAGTTTGATAGTTCAGTTACCTCTTAGACAATCAACAGTTCAGTGGGGTCACAGTACAGGGCGTGTGACAAGGGACTGCAATGTAACTAAGTAAAAGGGATTCTGGGACCAGGGGGTACCCGGCAGATGCAAAAGGAAGGACCCCCAGGCCACGCAGGACTGCTGAGAAGGCCCGCTCAATACAGCACTCACGAACGAATCCTTTTCCAGTAGCAGCCACAAAAAATGGCACTGTCAGCCCCCCCAAAATTCTGATAAAAGAATTAACAAAGGAGGGATGCCTGGATGGCTTAGATGGCTGAGCAGCCAACTCTTGATTTCAGCTTAGGTCATGATCTCAGTGTCGTGACACTGAGCCCTGTGTCGGGCTCTGCACTGGCCGTGGAGCCTGCTTGAGATTCTGTCTCTCCCTCTGCCCCTCCCCCCTTGCCTGCACAATCTCTCTCAAAAGAAAAAAAAAAGAATGGAGGAATTAACTGAAATACATATGTCTAAAATTATTAGAGATAAAAAGAAGGAATTAAAAACATAATATACTCTGAATAAAAAACCAGGCAGGTATAAAAAAGACAACCAAATACAACCGGTAAAAACTCAGTGGGTGACTGAACCACAGATGAGTCTCAGCAGAACACAGACCAAGTTCATGAAAGATCAACTTGAGGAGATTACCTAAAAGAAGTAGAGAGCAAGATATCCATTAAAATAACAAAACAAAGAAAGGGTGAGGGGGGAAGAGACCGAGGGGGTCTAACACACACATAACAGAAATTCTGAAGGAAGAAGGGAGAACAAGGGAAAGGCAAAATTTAAGTTACGACTAAGGATCAAAACGATGGAGCACAAAAACTCTCAAATTTAGGAAGCAAAGACGCCAAAACAAGAGACATGAAGGAAAGCTACACTGGCATGGATGGATGTGGGGAAGGGGCCAGGAAGGCGCAGCAGGTGGGCCTCCAGACGCAGCCGCTGTGCCTGGAAAGCGCAGCAGGAAGCAGAGAAGTGACCACTCAAGAGTGAGGATGAAATGAAACAGACGAGGAGAGGGGACCCTGGTCTGGGAGGGAGATGGGAGCAGCCGTGGGCAGGTGAGCAGGCGGGCGGGCGGGCCCCCTAGTTCTATCCGGATTGTTCAGCGAGTGTGGGCGGCTGCTTTCTAGTTTTTATTTGGAAGAGCGAAGGGGCGTGATTAGTCAAGATAATTTTGAGAAAGAAAAATAAGGGGTATATGCCCCATCAGAAGCCACAGCTTCACAGGTAAAATAATTAAATAATTGCAGCTTGGTAAATTCCTTGGGGTTTAGGTACAAGAGGAGACAGGAGCAGTGGCACAGAACACAACTGACCCCAGCACGGACGGAAGGCTCTTATCAGACAGGTGAGGAGGGCCTATTAGCCAATGCTGATGAGCCAGCTAGTCAACCTGGAGGAAAAGACTTAACCTCCTCTCCAGATGCATTCAAATCACCTACTGGTGGCTTATAACCTCACTGTAAAAAGTAAAACTTTAAAATATCTTACAAGAAAACGTAGAACATATTTATGACCTTGGGGTGGGGAAATTTCCTGAGATAACGGAAAGAAACACTAATGAATTTCATTACTTTGAGACTGCAAAGTTCTAAATACTGATGAGTCCATGCCAGAGCCTCAAGCCTGAGCACAGTGACCGTGGGCAAGCAGGCCCCAGAAAACTAGAGGAGGCATGTCAGACTGCCCAGTATACACAGTCCATGACAGAATAAGTAATTTGATAAAAAGTGGAGGTCCCAAGAGAACCAGGAAACATTTGAAAAGACGCTCAACACCACTGGTACACACACGAAGACAGCAGTGAGGACGACAACCAGGCGTCATGTCCAGGAGCAGCGAGTCCAGTCTGGGACAGGTGCAAGGAGACCTGGCTGGCCATGCCAGTCGGCCCCGCAGGTGTCTGAGCACCAGAGGGACCAGGACACCGGACAGAAAGGTCAGTGAGCAATGACACAGCGTCGCCCTGCATACCATGGCCTGTGCACAGAGTACATAGCAACACTATGTGGCAACATCATGCATCCCCAAATTTTCGGAAATACAATTGCAACTGAAAGAAGTCAGCTGTAGAAGAACACACGTTCTCGTTTCCTGCGGTTTACGGCTACACACACAGATGTACATACAAACCTAGTGACACAGCCCAGCACACAGTTCTCTGTTCACTGGGCACAGGAGCCCCAAGCCCTGTGTCCTTCTCCCCAGTTGACCAGCGTGTCCCACAGGCTCCCTTTCTCACGTGTCCCCAGCCACCCCACTGCCCGAGCCACAGATGCTGCCTGGTCGCCTTCCCATCTGGGGAGCCCTGGCCTCCCCGAGTCTTCTGCTCTGCTGAGGGTTCCATACTGACTCCTCCCTCCTCAGCCGGCCCTGCTGCAAGGCCCTGCTCCACCCCACCCTCCCTCCCTCTTGACACCCCTGCGCTGACCTGCACATCTTCCCTCGCAGATGCTGCCTGCCTCCCCCTGCTCACCAGCTGGGAGCAGGGTAGGGCCTAGACAGGGTGGGTGCTCAGGGCTTGTGGGGTGGTGCCCAGCCTCCCCACTCCACTGTCCCACAGGGCTGAGGCGACCCCCTCGGCCACCAGCACAGCACAGGTGCACACCGCACTCGGCATCCCCCAAACCTGGAGGGGCGCAGGCATCTCCAGACTGGCCCTGGCTCCTCCTCTCTGGGGCCTGGACATCACACCCAGCCATGCTGGGCTCAGCGTGCGCTTCCCAAGTGAGCAGGGAGTGGGGCTGTGGCCATGCTGCCCGACGGTTCGAAGCTCTCACAACCCTCCTGTGGCTGTTTGTGCAGGGACCCCAAAGGTCAACGGCACCTCTGGGGATGGGCAGCCCATTTGCTCAAAAGCAGGCAGAATGTGGGCCTTATAGTAGGGCCAAATTCTTCCTAAAAGTAGGTGTATATTCTAATTTTCTTATGTTTACTCTAGTGACTAACCAGTGCACCAGCATCTGTGCTTTCCTCCAGGCCCACCTGGGAGCAGCCCAGGGTGGGCGCCGTCCTGTCCCACGGGCAGGGAGAAACGTGCTCTGGACAAGGGTGGGAACAGGGACAAAGGCAGAGGGCAGAGGGGGCAGCGAGAGGGTTAGGGCACTGAGCCATCAAGGTGTCTGAGCAACACTTCCAGCGGATAGAAACACCACAGGTGCTCTATAAGGAATAAATTCAGAATCATGCCAGGCATTAGGATTCTCTGCTGAACAAATACCTAGGACTGCAGCCCAGCCACAGTTCAAGAGCAGTAAACCCGGAGGAGCACCGAGTGTCAGCGTTGGGCCTGAGGACTCCGGCCTGCTAGTGTCTCAGACTTGGGGCTCGCACTTCTCTTAGCTGTTTTTCTTTTTCTTTTGCTCATGCTTAGTGTGAAAAGTGCACAATTCAGTTAAGTCATCTGAGTGACAGAAGAAGGAAGTGTTTGTCTTCAAAGTTATTCCGAATTTAGAATCTGACACCCAGCCACAGTACCATGCAGCCCCGTATGGGAAACACAGAGGGACTCAGAGTTCATTATGCACACACCCTCTCTGAAAAGACGTGAAGAGGGATGCTCGGCCCCTCCAGAAGAAACACAGACTCCACAAAACAGGAAGATGGGATAAACCCAACAGTATGAGCAAAAGCGCACACAAACCCATACTACCTTTTGTTAAATCTGAATAATTATTGGGGCACCTGGTGGCTCAGTCACTGAGCATCCGAATCTTGGTTTTGGCTCCGGTTGTGAGAAGCACCAAAGGGAGTCTGTCTGAGCTTCTCCCTGTCCCTCTGGCCTTCCCTGCACACCCGCAGGCGTTCTCTCTCCAGTACATAAATAAATCTTTCTAAAATAACCTAATACCTGATTATTCAGGTTTTTTTTCTTATGTTTTTCCATAACGTTTCAGTGGCTTCATTTAGCCTCACACAATTTCTTACTAGAATATTCTTAAGTTTTTCTCAGTCCCGTGATGAGGCCCCCCCACACCTGCTGAGACTGAGATGACCTCATTCCCTGACAAGCGACAACAAGTTCTACCACTGCCCCCGCTGACAGTCTTAGGTTATGTGAGACAACGGGGTGGCGTGAGAGGGACAGCGTTCAGCTGTGTCACACACATCTCGGTCTGTCTCAGTGAGTGCCCGGAGTCCTCCGAGCCATGCTGAGTAACAGCTGAGACTGTGCACTTTCCTGTCTTTCATGTTAACGAGATGATTCTAATTTCGGTATGATGACTGTGAGACCTTCCCAGGCAGGGTATCCTATGGAAAGGCCCAGTACCGTGGGTATGAGATTGGATCACAAGCTTTTACAGCATCTCTGTGACGGTTTCCTTCTCCTTTTTGCGTGGCGGATGCACAGATCCCTCAATGCTGCATTGTTTCCTTTCCTCTAACACAGGCAGGACTGCAGCTCTTGATACTGTATGTGCAGGTGCACAGAACGCCTGACATGGGATTAGCCCACCTGGCAGTAGTGTGCAGACGGTGGACTTCAATTGTTTTATATTTAAAATGTTTTACAGTGAGCACTTATCACTTTGGCAATTAAAAAGAAAAGATAAAGAAGGACAATGTAAGGAAACGTGTTGACATTTGAACGTGTCGACTTTCTTGGCTACTTGGCCTTTACTCTGTAAATGGAGGAAACACCCCCTGGGGCAGTTAGGGTTGTCTGAAGCCCACCATAGTGCACACACAGCGGCAGCACCCACCTGCTCGTCACTTCTGTGGTAGTCATTGTCCTCTTCCTGCTTCTCTTCTGCTGCTTCTTTGTTCGAACTGTCATCTGCTTTGGTTTCACCTTTCAGCAATAACAGGAGATATTATATTACGAAACCCAGAATGTCAAACCATTATTTTTTTTAACTGTACACTATACTCAAAATGCTATAAAAATTCATTCAAATAAGACAGTTGCACCTTCAAAAGGATATGAAATTGGGGAGAGCTGGACAGGGCACCTGTTAAAACACGGTGTCTCTTCAAGTGTGTCTACAAGGACATAGCAGGCAAAGGCTGGTGGGGGCAGTGAAAGGGGCAGAGAAACCCTCGTACCCAATACTACTCAATGCTTAATACACCAACTACCAACTAGTAGCACAGGGCCCCTACAATCTTTATCGTTCCAACACTGCTTTTACAAGTAAGTGGCTGGGACAAGAACCCTGGCTTCCCAAACAGCCCCCAACTGCCTCCCTCTGCCTCCACAGGGGTGCAGCATGCAGACCCTGCCTTTCCTCAGGACCAGACAGGACCTCTCCTTTCTTCTAACATTGTTAGACATACACAGGGTGGTCTAGAAACTTCTCAGGAACCCCTGTGGGTCACTAGAAAAACACCCTGGCATGAAATACTTGAATAATTTGTTTTAATATGTACCAACTTGAAAATACCACTAATTTTACACTGAAGCAGGACAAACTGAAGGGAAGTCTCAGGAGGCCCACCTGCACAGCACCCCACCTCCAGGTACTCGTGGGGGCCCCCTCTGTCTCCCGTTTCTTAGCTGGGCCCCAGAAACTCCCAGGTTGTACCACAAACTATGGAGGGGGCACAGCCCATCCTAAGAAAGGGGTTCATACCAAAGCCCAGCCTTGGCTGCAGGCACGCCGGAGCCCACTCACCGTTCCGATGGGGATCTAGGTGCTGTTTTGCAGAACAGGTCTCCCCCTTGATATCTCCAGGCACTTCCATGCCTAACTTGTGGTAGAATTCCCTCTGTTTCCTCATTTCCGCTATTGAAAATGAATACATACTCTTAATCTTAAGAAGGCAGTGAATCACATGAAAATTCTGTTCACAAATGTCATGTGAAGCGAACAACAGATCTGGATCTGGGGGGTTTTGATGGCTGCCACTAACGAGAAGACAACTCTGGACTGTCACCCTCTGAACCTCAGAGCCGTGGGGCCCTGACTGGAGGACGCACCGGGCACCAGGCTGAAACTGCCAGCACAAGGGCATGGGGACGCACAGACCCCTGACCGCAAGCTGCAGGCCACTCCCCACCCTCAGACCCAAGACTGCCATTCTCAGCACAGGGCGCCTGCTCAATGTTCTGGGACTCCTCAGTGGCCCACACACAGGACCCGCAGACCGCTGGGCGGCTCAGTGACAGACTCGGGCTTTCTGGCACTGCCCGCATCCGAGTGCTGCTGACATGCAGTGTCCTCTCCCAGCAACAGAGGGCCACCCCGGGGTGCCAGGCACGGGGTAAAGAGTGGCCCCTGGTGTCTGTGGCATGCCATCACAGCTCACAGAATCCTGGGGAGGCAGTGGAGCTGCCCCTCAACCCGCAGGAAGGTTCCTTTGGGGGCAGAAGCCACGCCACCACACTGCCTTCCACTCCCCTCCTCAGAAGTGATGTCAGCTAGCACCCCACTCCCTGGGGTTGGCAGGCCAGTTGCTGCCGGCTGCACCAGAGGAAGCCCCCCCGTGTAGAGTGGCGGCCAGGCCAGGAGAGGGCAGGGGCAGCAGGCTGAAAGGCCGACTCTGAGCAGAAAAGGATTGTAAACCATACACCCAGACAACGAAGCAATTAGTCATTGCTCGGGGCCCCACGGCAGGCAGCAAAGAAACTTTAAACCCAAGCAGCTCAAACTAATAGCCTGTAAATCACTCTATGAAAAACACTTCTGTGTACTTAACCCCGTAACACTCTGTTGCACTTTTTACCTGCACCTGTGTCCTCCCCTATAGCATGAGCTCCATGGGGCCAGGAATACGTCTTGGTCACAACCTGGACCTGCACGATGCTCCGCATGACCGATCCCGCAGGAGCACATGGGTGCAGGGGGACAACAGGCTCAGGCACAAAGTGGCCGCCCCTCAGAACTAAAGGGATGGCTCTACTGCCTAGAGGGGACATGGGGTGCTGGAACCATATACGGCAAAGTGCCAAACCAGAAGACTGGTCTGGAAAATTTGGGATTAGCTCAGAAAGAAATGAAATATACATATCCAAGCTAGTTCAGCAATAAAGGTGTGAAGAGCAGGGCTTGACGGCATGAGGCCACTCCCCCCAGCTTCTCCAAGTACAGCGCGGTCCCGCCCAACAGCGCGCAAGAGTTCTCGCCTAACGCTCAAATGACGCTGCTTCCAATACCTTGTTTTAATTGTCATTAAAAATTTTTCACCTCTCAGAGTGAAGGGAATATTGAAATTAATACTCCATGTCAGGAACAGATCAGCACACAAATGTCCCTTGGGGTAAATTTTCAGCAAGGTAACTTGCTATTTAAAACTATTTAAAAACTTAACCGCTGGCCCCCCAAATTCTGCTGGTAATCTGTCCTAAAGAATAACCACCCTAGTGCATAAGGACAGGGGGAGGCACACAGTCCCTGGGGCCTTATTCACAACACTGAAGGGCCAGAAACAAGTCTGAATGGGGGCTGGGCCAGCCAGAAGGGCGAGGCCAAGAAAGCCTCAGAATCCTTCTCAACACTCCATCCCAAATGCCATCCACTACGGACAGTCAACATGTGAGATAAACCTAATGTATCTGCTACCCTGGGATAAGGCCTTCTGCTTAGTAGAATACCATGTAGCCACTAAAAATGATACATATTGGGGGCATCTGGGGGTGTCAGTTGGTTAAGTGACTGACTCTTGATCTCAGCTCAGGTCTTGATCTCAGGGTTGTGAGTTGAAACCCCACATTGGGCTCCATGCTGGGTGTGGAGCCCACTTAAAAAAAAAAAAAAAAGATACAAGTCACATATTTTTTTAAAGATTTAGTTATTTATTTTAGGGAGAGAGTGAGCGTGAAAGCAAGCAAGCACATGTGTGAGTGAGGGGAGGGGCAGAGAGAGAGGGAAAGGGAAAGAATTTTAAGTAGGCTCTCCACTGAGCACAGAGCCTGGTGCAGGGTTCGATCCCACAACCCTGAGATCATGACCTGAGCCTAAGTCATGAGTCTGACACGCAACCGAATGAGCCACCAGGCGCCCCAAGGTCCTATTACTGGTGTGGAACAAGCACAGTAGGTCATCATGGAAAAGACTATGTAGCATGATCTCGTTTTTTATAAAAATTACAATTTTATAATTTATAAAATAATAAATTTTATAAAATAAATTTATAAATAAAAATAAATAAACACAAAATAATAAAGTTTATAAAATAGTTTTATAAAATTTTATAAAAATTACAGATCCTGGTGTAACTAGGATCTAGGAGAATCCAGGGCAGTGATAAACGCAAGGCCATACTGGGCCCGAGTCCGTGTCCTTCCCTGGCGCTCTCAGCGCCTCCTCAATGACGTGGGCACATATGGGGTCCCATGGCCGACTTCACACTCAGGTTGAAACCCACTCCCCCTGCCCCCGGATCCGGCCTGAGACGAGGACATCCACGTGCACCACTCAGACCGAACACCCAGTGTGGAGGACTAGCCCGGGGCCTCGCAAGCGTCCCGTCATTGGACGCAGTGGACACTGGGGCTGCATGAGCTACGCAGCAACACCGAGGTACGACATAGGCAGGTCTGGAACCAGGGAGAAGGCAAATGTTTTATGTAAGTATAATGAGTACATTCTGGCTCTTATTTTGAATAAACTGTCATCTGTCAGATGAAGAAAAAAGCTCCACTTTACCTTCACAATCCCTTCTTTGATGCTCTTCCTTCTTTCATGTGGGTCAAAGTTTCCAACCTCTGGCACCTCCTCGTCTTGGAAGAACTTCTTATGCAGTCCGACAAGTTCCCGAGACCTCTGGCTCCCAGAGAAGCTATTTTTCCTTGCCTTCTGCAGAACACACAACTCTGGCCAGTGGTTTCTTCTCTCAACACCAAACACTGTACTTTCCGGTCTCCTTGCTGGCGTGGCTTTGGAGAAGCCAGGTGGATTTTTACCTTTGCTCTTCTGTAATAAGGTGTTTTCTCCCTCTGCCTCATTTAGTTTGATTACTCTGTAGCTGGAAAATGATATGCATAGGTCTCACGTTCCTGGCACTGATCCTGACTGGTGTTCTCTGAGCGTCCGGGGTCCGGGGTTTGGTGCCCGATGTTAGTTTGGGGAAAATCTCAGTCATGATCAGCTCACGTGTTTCTGCTGTTCCTTCTCTCTCTCCTCTGCTTCTTGTGTTCCCGTCCCATGTACGGTACACCTTTGCGGCAGTCGCTCACCCTTGAAGACTCTGATTTTGGTTAGCTTCTGTTGACAGAACCCTACACAAGTCGTGTTACTAATTGGCCCAGGCTTTCTTTATTTCTGCTACTATGGTTTTATGTCTGGCATTTCTTTTTGCGTCTTCCTTAGGGTTTCCGTCCTTCTGCTTACACTGCCCAGCTATTCTGGTCCACGTTACCCATTGGAGCCTTTAGCATATTTGTTGCGTTTGTTTTCAATTCCAGTCTGACAATTCCCATATCCCTGCCATGCCCGGTTCTGGTACTTGTTCTGTGTCCTGAAACTCCGCTTCTGTCTTTCAGTGGTCCTTGTCATGTTTTCTGGTGAGCCACCTGCGATGTGCCAGGGAGAGGCCTTCAGTGACATGGTGGGGGTGGGGAAGGGGAAGGGCTCTGTGATCCTCGGCCAGGGCCTCCACTCTGGGCTTGGTCAGCGCATCCCAGCTGTGTTCTCGCGCTGTGGGTGGGAAGACCAGCTCCCCTCGCTCAGCTAGTTTCCCCGGTGGGCAGGCCCTGGTAGAAGTGCTGCTGAATGGCTCCTCTTCTTCCCCTGCCCAAAGCACTGAGGGACCATGGCTGAGATCCTGGGGGCGAAGCTCATGATACTTGATACTGACTTGTCTGCATGGAGCCTCCAGCAATTCCTCAAGTACAGGCTTCTGGCCCTGTGCCAGTTCCCAGGGAGGGTTCCGCTCCCGAGTCTCTGCCCTGGGAAGCCGGGGCCCCCATATCCAGTTTCTCCAATCTTGGGGCAGCAGTTTCCCCTGTGTCCATCCTTCTTACAATATAAGAAAAGTGGCTGATTTCTCAGTCTGTTCAGCTTATTTGTTAGGACAGAGTGGTGACTTCCAAGCTCTTCATGTGAGGAACTGGAAACCAGCAGTCATGAAACTTCAAAATATGGTAAAACTATAATTGAGGACGTTTTTTTTGTATCATAGGCTGCTAACAAGAGAAACGGACTTCTTTTAGGGGGATGATATTTAATCGGGGTTAAAAGTTAGTGTTCCTTATCATCTAAACTGATTATACATGTTCATCTCAAATGAGATTTTACAAATTTTCATTTCTGAAAATGTCTTTTCACACAGAAATGCTGGCATCAGTCCACAAGCACATGACCTCTTGGGCTCATGCATCAGTGAGGGGGTGCTCCCAGAACCCTGGGGGGCCTTTTCTCCCGGTGTCGTCCCTTGTGGCGCCATCACAGGGCTCACTGCTCCTCCTGGAGGGTGGATGGAAGCAGCACAGTCAGTGGACTCTGACATGTGGACTGAGGTCGAGGTCCTGGGCCTGTAGCCAGAGCTCAGAAAGAAGGCTGCTCCCAGTCCATATGAGCTCGGAGATTTCCTGCCTCCTCTTGCTTCTGACAGCACCACGTCCAGAGGGCAGCACCTCACCGCAGGGAGTCTGTGCCCAAGTCACGCTGCCTGACTTCATTAGGAGCATTGTCGAGTCTTTGGAAAAAGGTACTTCCTGAAGTCCTTCAACGTTAAAGGTGCTTCTTTCCACTCTGAAAATTTCCTCCCCCCACAGCTCCAAACCCCACCACACACACACTTTGCCAGCCTGAAGCCTTAAAAGGCTGAGTGGGAGGGAAAGTTGGGATGTTCAGCCTCCGCTTTGGACAGGACCTCCAACGCCGGGGGATGGTGACAACTGAAAGTGAATGAAGTCTGCTGCGGACACCATGGGTCCAGTGACACAGGAAAGAGTCATCTCAGCAGTATTCCTGTTGGTGAATACGACGTTCCCCCAGATACCTTCCATTTACACAGGTGCAGTTCGTCCATCCAACTGAGCATCTTCCTGCCCCACACACGTTCCCGCCCCTGCTGGCTGGAACACAGCTGAGCGGATGCCACTTCTGGTTGTACTGGACTGGAAGTTTCTCAACCCCTTGAAGATTCCCGGTGGCAGCTGCTCTGTGTGCACCGCTCGGAGAGACGTTGTCTCTGGTCACTGCAAGCTCCCCATGCGAACGGCTGAGCGGACTGGACACTCAGAACCACCAGCTTGGCTTCCTCCGCGACGACTGATGCAGCTCCCAGAAGCTGCCTCCAAAGCCAGTCTGTCCTTTGGCTGCTGGTGTCAAACAAGACTGGACTGAGGGTAAATGGATCCCCTGTTTGGCTAACACACCAGCCAGTCAGAAACCTACTCCGCTGCAGCCGTATCGTCACTTTTTATTTTTGTGAAGAAATTCTGCTGTGATGAGCTACTCTATTTTAGATTTTTTTTTTCCTTCCTGCGTATTCAGTCTGGTTCTGCTCCTTTACCCCAGCACGGTGGCTCAGCATGGCACCATTGGTTCGCGAGGATAGCTCCATCGACGCATCCCTGTGGCTTAAACAGGCAGCATCTGGAGCCCACACTTTCCTTTCTTCGGGTTCTGACGTGATGGGTAGGCGCGGACAACAGAGTCAGCAGTGGCACACGGCTCTCGAAAAGCTGGCAAGCTATGCCTGTGTTTCTGGATCCATGGTGTGCGAAACGGCGAGGCCTCCCCCACCCCGCACCCGGTCTGCCACCAGTGCCTGCTCGGGGCGCGACGCTAGCACAAACAATACAAAGAGGAGTAAGCACGCTGTGCTCCAATAACACTACTTAAGAGACAATGGAATTTCAATTAATTAATTAATTTCAATTCAATTTCACATCACAAATGTTATTCTTTTGACTTTTCCCAACCTTACAAAAGTGTAAAAAACATTCTTGGCTCACGAGCCCCGTGAAGACAGGCACCAAGCCAGATCTGGCCTGCAGCTTGCCGACACCTACTCTAGGCAGGGCCAAGAGGCAAGAGAAAGAAAGAAAAATGCAGAACCCTTGGCCTAGTGATTCTACTTCCAGAATAAAGCCCAATATATTCACCCACTCCCATAAAAGTATGCAAAAGGGTGATCGGCACACCCCTTCCCTTCGGTTAAAGCCAACCATGGGAACGTCCTAAGTATCTGTAAGGAGGAGTCTCCAGGAGCAAAAGGACCCCCACAGCCATTGTCAGACGGGCAGAGCCCCACATCCCGGCGAGTGCCTCTGTGGCACCCAGGCAGAAGGAGCAAGCTACAGGCTGTGTAAAGCAGGGAGGGGTAGCCGACATAAAACATAGATCATTTGATTAAATTTTATAAAATGTGGCCTCTTCAAAGGCAGATTTTCAAAAATTATTAAAAAAGGAAACAAAAGACAACTGAAAAACAAATTCTCCACCAAGAAGACCTTGTCTACGGGGAACAGAGAAACAGCTGGCAAGAGGGCAGCAGCGGAGGTGGAACCCGAGGAGGCGCAGCTCCGAGGCCCGGGAGGCAGCATGTGCAGCCTCCAGAATGGGGCCTCCACCTGAGAAATCAGGTGTGCAGCTGTGGGCACAGCTGACATGACAAAGGGGCTGCAGGCAGCCTGCAGCGTGACAGTGGCCACACTGTTGAGGGTTTCAAAGCCATGCTGTTCTTGTGAAGAGCAACATAGGGCTGCAAGTCTGAGGGCCAGAGAAGCCGAGCATCTGGTCTGCCAGAAGAGAGACCCCGGCCCAAGGCGGAGAGAGGGCGACTGGCTCAGTCAGCCGGCATCACTGCACTTGCACATGGTCTCCACCAACAAGACCTCCGTTACAACTGTGTTGCCGGGCATCTCACCCATGGCCGGCACCCAGACTCTGTGGTGAGAGGACAGGAAGTCACCAAGAGGAGCCCAGAACCTGCCTGCCGGGCAAGCAGGGCCACCCCAGACTCCTGGGGTGCTGTCGGAGGCCACGGATGGGAGCACCAGGGCTTCAGAAAGGACAAGGACCCCTACATGCTGTGAACATGTGCATGCGTTTCCATCCACTGACGGTGGCTGGAGGGGCCTGAAGGCCCGGCTGGCTGTATACAAAGGAAAGACAAACTCAGTTCTGCCTGTTGATGTGAATGGGCCTCAGGAACCCTGCGGTGATGCACGGCTCTGTGCACGTGGTCTACCCGGTACATGGCCAGGTCAGGCCTGGAAGAGGCAGATCGGAAGAGGCGGATTGGACTGCTCCTAACGTGTCCCAGACTGACGCTCTTCGTGCAGGATGGCTGCAGCTACAGGACACACAGGCCAAACGCACCTGTTCAGGCAGGATAACCACCGGAGTGGGACTTGCCAGAAACACGAGCCAGAATCAGGTCAGGCCTGCAGAGGCCACCAGTTCAGGAACTGGGGTGCCCTCGGCAAGTCTAGACTTGGGAGACAGGAGAGGCCGGGAGGCCGCAGAGCAGTCGGCCTGGGGGCGACCTAACCCGGATCCTCACTGAAATAAGCTAAAACAAGCTCAGAAAATGTGGTATTCTCAAGGCGGTTAGAAATGTTGGCACTGACTGGCTGTTTGATACCAAGGGGTTACTATTATTTTCTTAGATTGATAAAGGTTTTGTGGTTACGTGTATTAAGAAGAACCTTATCTTTTGGCAGAAGATGGGCGGGAGCAGTCAATGAAACAGGACTCACTGTGAGCTGGGAAACTGCGGATGCCGGATAATAAACACATGGGATTCCGTACGTGCTTCTGCCTGCTTTTGTGTTTAAAATACTCTGTAATAATTTTTTAAGGTACTGGTGTTTTATTTTGATGTATTCTTTGCTTTAGGACTAAAAACTTCGGGGTATCAAAAGATGACTGTTTCCATCTACATTTTACTCAGGAAACTTAAATTCTTTTTATATAAATGACCTTGTGAATGGTGAAGAAAAGACTAATAGCACTGTTATGTTGGAAAAGCTAGATGAGTATCTTCTAAGCTTACACAGTGAGCTGTATATTCAATTACAACCTTCCTTTGAAACATTACAAGGAGAAAACAGCCAAAAGGAATCCCTAACATATTTTATCTCTGAAGGACAGCGTACGGAGTTTCATCAGCAAGCACAGCACCCTCGGATCCTGAGTGGGACCCTGAGGCCAACGTCCCTCCCCATCGCCCCCTCACCACCCCCACGAAGAGGGGCAGCAACACTCTCTGTGTTCAGGACTGCAGGAAAGTGTAAAATAATAACTGCTATTTCTACTTTCAGGATACTTATACTACATAGTAAGTATTTCTTTTTAATTCTCAATGAGATTGGACTTTAGATGCAGGTAAACTTTATCCACACCCCGGCTACTGGTGGTGTGTATGCAATTAGGGAGGCTGCCTCAGTGAGGCTGCATGCTCAACTCGGCCCCTCTGAACGCAGGAGCCGGCAAGGCGGACAGTGGAAGAAGCCAGCACCATGGTACTCGTGAGTTCAGCGTGGGGACAAGACAGGCGGTGCTGCTGCCACAGAAGGGGCCTCCCTCCAGGTCCAGGACCCCCATGAGGAAAGCCTCCCAGAGGCCGTGCTACAGACTCCACAGTCTGAGAGAGACACTCTGACACTCACCTTCCTGGAGGCCTGGAACCAGTTTGTAAACAATGTCCTGCATGGTTCTGTCATGACTGGCAAAAAGAACACAACAGGTCAGGTCAGCCAAAACACCCGGGCACATCTTCCCTTTACAACAGCAAAATTCACAGTCGCAAATTCTAAATCTTGGTTGAATTTTGCTTCTAGTTTGCACTTAAAAAAATGTGCTAGCAGAAGTTATATATGATCTGAATTAATGCATCATTTAATTCAGGTTCTAGAAGCTTAAGAACATTTCAAGCAGCAGTGGCACAAAGATCCTCTAGGGGATGAGTGCCCTCTGCCTGCTGAATGTGGAGCCAACACAGAGCTGTGGCCTGGTGTGGTCTGTCCAGCCGCACACCGCCAACCCCGCCTTGTCCACTGGTGCTTCCTGGGGTCTCCACTAGACAGGAAGTTTTCTTTAACATTCTCAAAAATGCAGAGAAAAGGTGCTAAGATCAGGCCCTTCTGGTGGTCTTTATGATCTACCTATGAAGGTTTTCTGAAAAGGTTACATGAGCACAGTATCTGAAGTATACCACTCCAGTTTGTTATTTTTGAACATAAATTATTAATACATTGAATAACTGTTTTCAAACATCGTCCATTAAAATGAAAACCTTAAGAACACAGATAGGTACCTTGTAACCAATTGACAAACAGCTCTGCTCCACAGATCAGATATTTAGCTGCGAGAGCTAGGACAGGACTGGGCACACAGCAGCCGCTCACCAGGCTCACAATTCTGCCAGAAACGCTGGGGGACCGGGTCCCGCAGAGACCACTGCTCACTGCTTCCAACAACTCTAAAGTTCTACTAGACACTGGGCTGACAACTCAGCCTGTGGCAGACGGACGCAGGGTTTCTCAACCCTTCTGATCGTGCTGCACACTAAGAAATGCATTTCACGTCCCAACGCTCACATTCACGTGTGTGTACGGGTGACAGACACATGCACATGGATAAGCATTCGGAACCACCACTGGCCTGGAGTACACACGACTCGCTTGCTCGCTGACTCCACCCTCACCAGCTTTGCGGAAAGCTCACCCGATCCCTAAGGAGAGGATGCTGGACGGAACCCTGCCAAAGAGCTCTATCCTAGGTCCTCCGAATGACTGGGCTAGACCCTGCCTGCATGGCCAGAGACCCACAGCACTGAGTGGAGGGCTCGGCGGACTCTCCTCGGGGAGGGTGCCAGGAGGCACAACAGCACAAGGCCTTCTTCCTGGTGTCAGCTACATTCAGGGCAAACCCTTGAAACAGAGCCAATTCCTTTGCAGGGTTCATGTTCACACTCCACGCTACAGGCCACACACCCTCTTAGCTCCTCTCTTGACATGGCTCACATGGCCAAGGTCCTTGGCTTGAAGCTGAAGCCTGAAGGGCAGAGCTGCCTCATAGATCCTCCAGACCCTAGAAGCTAGGACTCAACACCTATCTTCAGCCAGCACCCCATGGCATCATCTTACCTCCTAAGGCCTGAGCCACTGCCTGGGGCCCAGCACGGGGCCACCAGGCCCCGCTGCCCCATCCTAAGTGCCCTCTTCCCACTCTGCCCCAGCCCAAAGGTGAAGGCCCTTCCTTTGGGGCAACCTCACCGTCAAAGTGTAGCAGAATCAGAGCAGAAGGCTGGGCCAAGTGTGTAAGACAAAGGTATGTCAGGAAGAAGGCTCTGAGCCAACAGCAGAGCTGGCATTAGGATGGGTAAAACAGTATAGTTCCAGACAAAGCACAGAGGTCAAGGAGTAAGGGACAAGATTAGCAGGAAAGAGCCACTGTGGAGCGCAGAGCCCATGGCAGGCCTCAGGGCTGCGCATCTCCCCGCAGCTCTGCACCTCAACCCCCTGGCCCTGGTCACCACATCATCACCACAGAGAGAGAAGGCAGGCCCTGGCCTGTGCACCCGGCTAGCTCCCCTTCCTTGTGTTACAGGTTAGGCTATGCCTAGAACACCACGGTCTGGGACTGCTAAAGTGTTTCTGTTCTCCAGAACACCCTGCCTACCCCAGAGCACAGGAGAGGGGCCCTGGAATTCTGGGAGGGAGGGCCAGAGTCTCTACAGCTTTCCACCGGCGTGAAGCTCCTACCACCACCTGCCTTCTACAGATCACATCAGGAAAGCCCCCCTGTGCTCTACAAAGCTACACCCCCCAAGACAGGAAACACATACATAGACACTGCCAACAATTAGTGCCCAGAATATATAAAGCATTTCTTTAAAGCAGAACAAATAAAACAAAGAACCCAGTAGAAAAATGAAATGAGATATGAAGAGACACTTCCCAGAAACCTGAATGGCCAGGTAACATTTGGGAGGAGGCTGGTGCTCACTGATAATCAGGGTCAAGAGCACACCAAACAGCAAGAATGCAGTCCACAATAGCCCAGGAGAGCACCGGAAGGTACGAGAGCTCTACATCCCAACACCCTGCCCTGAGGGATGGCAAAGAAGAGACACCTATACGGCAAACCCCAGAGCAGCACTGAGCGCCCGCTGTGGACACCCCAGTGTGCCCTGGCCACAGGGTCCCATATTAACTAACTGGTCTGGAGAACAGGATGGGTCAAGGGCAAGGCGCACAAACACACCACTGGTCCCCCCTGTAGTGAGCTGGACAAAGGAGACTAAGGTATGTTGTCCAGGAACAGTGGGCTACTGGGCGGGGTCTTCTGGGCCTGGTGATTTCTACCTCTTGATCTGGGAGCGGCTTCTCGCTGCGCCGACGCCAGCTGCTCACATGTTTTTAAACTCTCCTGTGCACACCCTTATGAGTGGTTCAGAACAGATCTCCAGACCTACCTCTGCTGCTCCCACGTGGTAGGGGAGTGCTTTCATTTCCTTTAGGACAGCCCCTCAAACCTGGAAGCCATTTAAAACTCCACATAAGAGCCACAAGCCAACCCGGACGCCCCCCTCACCCAAGAAGGTGGCCGTGGCCAACAGGGCCACCAGCTGTGAGAAGCAAGATGCAGGCCACAAGCAAGGGGCCTAGGACCACTCATTCCATAACAGAAAGGCGGGCCGAGGGCTGCTACCCGCTTTAGAGCAAACTTCAGTTTAAAACCAGTGAAATCCATGTGGGTCCTGAGGTTCCTCAGATTATTCAATTTGAGCAAATACTCCTGGAAACTTGTGGGAGCAGCCCCGGTGCTCCCTGGTCTGACTTGGCTGGCAGGGTGGCCAAGCACACAGGCCAGGGCAAGGCCCTGACAGGGAACGAGGCCAGAAACTGTGCCCGGGGGCCCTGGAGGCACTTACCCAATGTATTGCAGTGGGTGACTCTGGTGGATCACGATCCTACAAGTGGGGCAGGTGTTGTTCTCTTCCAAGTACTTGACCAGGCAACTCCGACAGACTGTTTGCGAAAGCACACACATGTCAGAAAGTGAGAGCAGAATGCCGGTGCCTCCTTGGGCTCGGCTCACACCTGGGCCATGCGCAGACCCACTGACCACCGCGCATGTGGCTGCTTCGATGGGACACCTGCCTCTCGGGTCTCACCAACCACGGTGAAGTCTCATGTGCTCACTCAGCAGGTCTGAGGGCTAAGGGTAGGAGGGACTCAGGAGGAACCTGAGTGAGGAGGGGGTGCCCAGAGGTCAAGAGCAGAGACATCACTAGAATGCACGTCAGGGTCTCATCCCAATATTCTCACCACAGGGGCTAAAACTTAAAATTTTCATGTTTGTCTAAAGAAAAATCACGAGATTTTCTGTGTACAACAAAATTCGAGAAAATTCAACAGAGAATAACAATTTAAAGCTACAATTACCTTTAAAATAAAAGTTCTATCAAAACTGGCAAATATTTTATTTTCTAAAGCGGAAAATACAGGATCCAAAGTCACCTGCATTCCAGGCACTGGTCTTACGGCAAAGACCCTGTCTTTACAGGGGGTTCCTGCCTGGCCCCCTCAGCCCCCATCATGGAGGCTAGCTTCGGGTAAACTGCACCTGCTAAATGTTCACTCAAGATGGGGCTTAAAACACCCAAGTCCAGCACAAGCTAAGAGTCTTCTAAATAGCACAACACAAGCCCATCAGCCTCGAGGAGCCAAACCACATTTCCCCGTTCAGAAAGTTTAAGGAATTCATTTGGAAATTTTAAAAAGTAAGCATTTCTGTCCACTAAAAATGAATATTGTCATAACACAGTTACACTGGTTTTGCTGTTACATGGAAATAACTAAATTTTTCCTATTTTTAGCTTTCTTAAATGATATTTCTACTGAAACTACCCATAATATATTTTTTTAAATTTGAACTAATTTTTTTGATTTAAGATAATCTTTATTCCTGCTTCTGTGTCTTGCTTTCTGCTTGAGCTAAAAGGTTTTGGTGAAAGAAAGAAGAGAAAAGAAAAGAAAGAAAAGGAAAAGAGAAGAAAAGGAAGGAAAGAAAGAAAAAAGAAAGGAAGGAAGGAAAGAAAGCAAGCCCAGGGACCAAGAAACCCCAAGGCTAGAAGCAGTCAAAGGCCACGTTCTAAGACATTCCGCCCACGAGTATGCAGAGAGTCACATCCCACCACGGCTGTCAAAGACCATGTTCTAGAATATTCCCCACATACACGTATACAGACCTTGGTCACATTCCCCCGCCACGGCTGTCAAAGACCATGTTCTAGAATATTCCCCACATACACGTGTGCAGACACTCAGTCACATCCCCCCCACAGCTGCCAAAGACCATGTTCTAGAATATTCCCCACATACACGTGTGCAGACACTCGGTCACCGTAGTCGCGTCGATGAGATATCCGCTGCATAGGCGGCAGGTGATGTGGGCGTTTATGTCCCAGAGTTTAATCTTTCTGGTCAACATCTTTGGCTTCTGCAAGAGAAAACCACTTATTAACTAATATCTGAAATAGTCCCATGTGCTTCTTTCTTTCTTTTTTTTTTTCCCCAGATTTATTTTTAGAGAGAGAGGGAGAAAGACAGCATGAGTCGGGGGAGGGGCAGAGGGGGAGAGAAATCTTCAGCAGACTCCCACTGAGCAAGGAGCCCGATGCAGGGCTTGATCTCACGACCCTGAGATCACGACGTGAGCCAAAACCAAGAGTCGGACGCCCAACTGACTGTGCCCTCAGATGCCCCCAAAATACTCCCATGTGCTCCATCAAAGTTTCAGGCCCAATGTAAATCAAGTTCCAGCACAGAAGGGCTCAGTGTGATGGAGGGCCAGGTCCACACCATAGAAACTGTGTGGCCCGGCTTCCCGTCTATAGAAGGGAGTGCTGTAAGGTTCTGCTGAAAGGTTCTCTTCTCACAGAGAACCGGGACTGTCCCAATGGGCAGCGCTCTGCAAACGTGTGACCACTTCCCCTTAACCACTGCGACACTGCCCCCCTCAGGGCTCTCCCAACCCTCTCCTGCTTGGGACTGAACTAAGGCCATCTAGGGAGCCATGTTGGGGGTGTGAGTCAGGAGATGCATGGAGCCGCAGGAAGAGAGGCTGGGGGAGCAGGCCACCTGTGCAGGGACAGGAGGCTGCGGGGTCACTGCTAGAGCCTCTGGCTCCTCTGGCAAGCTCAGGCAAGAATGACCCTGAGGGATGTCAGTGACCCTGAGGGACTCTGGCCCAACCTGAAAGAGAAGCAAAGTCCCTTGACGAGGCCTCAGTGTGGACACACAGAAACAGCTGATAAGCACAAGCAAAGGTGCTCAGCCCACGGACACGTCCAAATGCAGGTGATACCACATGTCATTCCAGCATCAGAAGGCAGTATTTCCAATATTCAGTTGACATTCAGTCCTGACCAGTTCCAGGGAAGCAGACGGTCAAAAGGGCTGCCAGTCAGATGTCCCCAAATAGGACAGGAGCCATCTCATTTCTAGAGATTTATCTTAATAATGGGACAAGTTCAAAAGATGTTTGCTGCAATTGTTTAAAATGGTAAATGACAGAAAACTGCCACTGAGAATTGGCTACAAAAGCAATTTTACTTAGCCAGCAGGTGCTCCAGATCCTCCTCCCCTACTCTCTGCCCTGTCCAAGGGAAATCCAACCAGCCCCTGGACCTCACCCTTCCTGGGGCCTCAGTAGCCTCTTGGCCCAGCACAACCCAGTCCCAGAACTGGGGGTTCCTAAGGTGACCTGCCGATCCCCGTCACTGTCCCACAGGACATCAGTGTTGCACACACATCATCAAAGCCCAAACATCTGTGTGCCAAAGTGCTGACGTGTTGTCTCTGTCTCGGGGAGCGGGGGGTACGCCACTGTACCTGGCTCTGCCCTCAGGTCACCTGTCTCCCCCTAGACCACAGGCTCTATGAGGGTTGGTTTTGTCACTGCATCGCCTGAGCTGTGCCAGGAGTTACAGCAGCTCTTGGGAATGTCCACATTCTACCCCCAAACCTGTATGTCACCTCATGCAGGAGATGGTCCCAGATGACCCCATAGACCCCATGCCATCACAGAGCCCTGAAACGGGGAGGTGGGAGGGTCAGAGGCAGAGAGACTGGGAGATACTAGGGTGCTGGCTTGAAGGTGCAGCCAAAGGTGCAGGTGCCCCAGAAGCTGGCAAAGACAAAGCACGATTCTCGCCTGGAGCCAGAAGGAGTCAGGCCTGTGGGCACCTTGACTTCTGACCTTTGGGACTGTCAGATGACGCACTCGTGCTGCTGGTCCTTTGTTAGAGCAGCAGTAGGAACCCGACACGGAATGCTGCTCCGGCGGATACTCACGGAGTGAATGTTCTCCAAGTGAGCGTCAGTAACAGAGCTCTGCATGAAGACCAGAAACAGACACATCGGAGTCAAGGGCATCTCTGAGGCTGGCTGGCCGCACAGTGCACATGGCTCCTAGGCCACCGGGCGAGGGCGCTCGTGGCTCAGTGCTGTTCATGAAAAGGGAAAAGCAAGCAAACCACGCAGAGGACTTGAGACCCACTTCCCTCTGTGTGAGGCCCGAGGGCAAGTGCTGGCCGTGCCTGCACAGTGAGTGTGGCTGGGGGCCCGGCCAGGGCTTTCCGGCTGGATGAGGAGGCGAAGGCCCTGGAGGAAGCAGCAGTCTGGAGGGGCACTGCTGGAACCAACAAACTACCAGAGCAAGGGACTGCCACTGGCCGGCCTGCCAGGCTAGCATCACCTACAGAATGGAGTGTGTCTACACCGCAGTCCCGCTCCAGGACTTGCGTGGAACATGAGACGAAAGCAGATACTTCTGGCTGTTCACCCACATCTCTCCTCCCTTCAAAAGACACGTGGTCCCCAGGGGAGAGGGCCCTTCCCACCTCCCTCGCAGCCAGCTGCGTCTGTGGGTCAGGGCTCGCTGATGTTACTAGCAATCTAGCAAAGATAAAACGGAGCTTGGGGAAACATTCGCACAGGGATTTCTACAAGCCAGCCAGCCTCAGCTGGGGAAGATGGACTCGCTCTCAACCGATATGGATTTGTACTCTGTTCTTGGCAAGTGGGTGGGCTGAGGCCCAGTCAAGTAGCTGGACTTTGGGGAACCCAGAACCACCTTGTGGAGTAGGAAATTAAAGGAGAGAAGGAAACCCAAGCAAAGCAGAGCAGAAAACAGGGGCCTGCCTGTTGACATGGAAATCTTGCGTGAGGCCCCACTCTGGCCCCAGCTGAGCACTCTTCTCATGCCCTCAACCTTCTACTGAGCAGTTTATATGCCAGCCACTAAGGATACAGGACACACAAATGTTCCCATCCCACTGTAACATGCTCAGCAATGACATATCTTCCCAAACGCCAAGTAACCGAGCTGCCAAACAAAAGACAGAACAGGGCTCGCTTTGGCCACACACACACTAAAGTCAGAATGATACAGAGCAGATTAGCACGGCCCCAGCTCAAGGGCAACACGCAAACTTGTAAAGCCAAAGCAAAGTCCCAGGTCACTCTGGCATAGATGGGGCCTCTGGCCCCTTTGAGGAATGGGGTCAGTGTGAGCTCATGCTTTGTGAGCCGGTGGGTATGGAGATGAAGACGTGTGTGTGCTTATGCGTGTGGACTCGCATACCTACCTACCTCCCAGCTCTGTCCACTGGGAGGGCCTGGGAGTAAGTGCTCCTTGGTGGCCCAGGTCCCAGTTTGGACACACTGCTGTCTGCCATGAGGTTCACGGGGGCACAGGCACATGGCTCACATAAGGCCAGGCTGGGAATGTAACAGAACTGGGCCCAAGTGGACCTGGCCCCAGCTCCAAGGGCTCCACGGCCACACTGGGAACAACTGGGGCTTCAAGATAAGGAGTCACTCTCATCAGGCGAGCAGAACGAATCAGATCATTATCAACAGAATAACACCAAATGAAGTTCATGAGACATTCTTCCTTCCAGAAGGTAAGCTGATCACATGGAAGTAGAAGTCACCAGCCACCACAGAAACCGCAGCGACAGTTTCCTCAGGAATCACCAATGGAGGCTTTGTTGAGGAAGGGAAGATTCAAAGAGTCTCAAAGACCCCTCCCCCCGCCCGCCAAACGAACACTTCTCAGGCACAGAGAGCAGGGCCTCCAGGTAGAAACACTGTGTAGACATTACTTCCTGAGTGACCAGCTGATACCCAGGTGGGCATCAGATGAGAGAGAGATAGCTGTGCCTCCTTGAGTCATGCCACGAAGGACACAGCACCCCTCACGAGACTCTTGCTAAAAGAGCACACACGAGTCTCACCTACAGGAAACCCCAGAGGTGACCCCCGAGGGAGGGAGGTCGCAAGAGACAAGGGAAGACAAGAGGGGGCAGGCTGCCTGAGCACTGTGCCTGGCTGAGGGGACAGCCCTGACAGCCTGGAAAAGGGACCCTCTACCTGCTGACCACCCACATTAGGAGATAAGAGGAACCTGAGAGACCCCCTGGCCCAGCTGCCAGCTCTGCCTAAGCTGGGCCCCAAGGTCAACCACCCTCCTGTCCTCAAGCCCACGAGGAGCTGCACTCAGAGGGGACATGTCCACTGTTGCCATCAGGCGGACGTCCTGCCTATAGACCTCCCACGTTTGGCAGCCCCTGTGTAGCCCTGGACACTGGACACCACGTGGGCATGAGCCAGAGGAGGAAAGTGCTACAAGACTGTCAGTCCTGTACCATTTGCACACACACCTGCCTGGAGACCCTGAGATGCCTTGATGGGTGCATCTCAGAGCCTCTCGCAGGAGAGGTCAGCAGTGAATGAACAGTAGGCTTTTCACAGCTGTTGCTCCTCCCCATGCCACAACACAGGCTGCTGAAAGGCTGCCTGGAGGCTGGGGGAGACCGTACCTCACCTCTTCTAGATGTCTTCAGTCCCCTCCTCCTGCCTTTGCATTGGGCGCTCAGGCTGCGGCTCTGAGGCTGTAGGTCCTCGTCAGCGGCTTCACTCTGCCCTGTGGGTCTTCACGTCGGCGCCTCCCTTCTGTCCCTTGCTCTCTGTCCATTTTCTGGCACAGAAACAGCCCTGTTATTTCACGTCAGCTCATTCACACAGGACGCACAAAATCCTATAATGATGTTCTTTCCAGAATTCTTGGGTGAGTCCCACGTAGTAAACAATAGAACAGAGTTGACCAGAAGGGTTAATTAAGGGACAGTTTGGGTATATGTGAGTGGTTGCTCCCTAATTGCCCCTAGAACTGTCAGAGACTACATTTTAGAGAAGTTACAGGAGACGACTTTTTCTGTGGCTGTAGCATACTCACACAGTCTAATCCAAGGTAAATTTAAGCAATTCACATGCACTGAAAGAAGAGAAAAATCCATGTTCAAACTGCATTTACCTGTACATGGCAGCCTGGGACGCTCCGCTACATTTTGAAGCCTGTGGAGACACACAACATAGGGGCGTCACCCACACACGCTGTACACACGGAGCCCACATCCGCTGCTGGACCTGCAGCCTTGGCTTTGCCCATTTACTTGTTTCAAACAACCAAATGGAAAACAAGAATTGATGACAGTGAAGAACCAGAACCCGCCACAAAGACACAGGCAGATGTCCGTGGCAGTCTGGTGGCACCAAGACCCAGGGGCTGTTGGGCTGGGAGGGCACCCGGGAGGCGTGGGGGCAGGAAGGGGGCTCTGTCACGTGACGTGAGGCCAGAGGAGCGGGGAGATCTTGGGGGTGACCCGATGGAAGGCCCCAGAGACTAGTAGACAGTTGTATTTAGTGTCTGTGATTTCTGTGTGTTTTGCACCCTTACATCCCTCCTCATATCCCATAAGGTGAGCACACAGGCTGCATGCTGGGTTCTGGGCCCCAGCGTGGGGGTCACGGAGTTCTGGTTGGAGACAGGCACAGACACCAACCAGCACAGGGCTGAGGTCGGGGCCCAGGGAGGGCTGTGTGAGTCCTCTGGGAAGACCTGGGCTCACACTCTGGGTGACAGAGAGCCAAGAGGTGCTCTCAGATCTGCGGGGGTGGGGTCTGCACTCCAACCTGGAGGCCCCAGGGGGGTCAGGCTGTTGGCATGGTGCCATGTGGGGGCTCCGTCTGAGACTCCTCTGGGACCCCCATGGGCCTCTCCCTCCTCCCCCCGAGGTCTTCCCACCCTCCAGGTGGGATGGTGGACAGGCAGGGCTAGAGATGCCATGCCTGCTCCCTTCTGAAGCCGGGACGCACCTGAGAAAGCACTGGGCCCTGGTGGTTAACAATGTGGCTAAATATAACCTTGGAACGGTGGGCCTAGTAATAGTTAAATGATGTTCACATTATACACAGTTTATGTGATTTTTACTCTTCAAGATTTCCACGCTGCAGTTTGTATTAATTAATCTTTGAAGCTCAATTAATTTCTACAGAAAAAGGAAAAGAGGAGGGAGGGGAAGGAGGAAGAGAGTTAGTTGGCTGGTTAGGAAGACTAACAGGTGTGTCTAAAGCACAGACAAGAGAACAAAGACAAAACACAGGGCCTGGCTCTGGACCAGGGCTGACCAGAATGCTCTGGGATGGTAGGACTCCTAAGAAATCCCCTCTGCCCAGCACGGTAGCTGCTGAGCCCCTGACATCTGGTGAGTGTGAATGAGGAAACTTCCGGTGGATTTTATTTTATTTAAGTTGTACTGTGGCTAGACACACAGTTACAGATACCTGAGCTAAGGTCTTAGACCTCAGTGAAGGAGAAAGACACAAAGAAAAGGCTCCCTGGAGCCTACACCCTAATGGAGGAAGAGAGACAATAAGTAATGAATGCAATATACAGGTAAATTACTTAGTATGTTAACAGGTGATAAATGCTATCAGTAAGACCAGAGTAGGGGAAGTAGGGGCACTGGTTTGGGGACTGGGTGTCAATGAGTCCCTCCTTTAGAAAGTTACATTTGAGCAATAATAGAACTAAGCTATTAGTATGAATTATGAACAATTTTATGCTGATAAAGTTGAAAATTTATGTGAAGTTGATAAATTCCCAGAAAAATAACTCACCGGAATTGAGGTAAGTAGAAATAGAAAACCCAGAAGTTCTGTAACGATTAAGGAAGTGGACATGGTCATCAGGAAAACCCCAGGCCCACCGTCTGAAGGGTTCTACCAAGTATTCAAAGAGCCAAAACTAACCTCCTCAGACAAATCCACTCTGAGAATCAAAAAGACGGTATTTTCCAACTCATTTTATGAAGGCAACACACACACCAGACCAGAACTGAAGGAAAATCACAGACTGAACTCACTGGTGGCCATCAGTGTCAAAGCTGTGAGCACGCGGAGTCACCTGACCCAGGAATGTCTGAACAGGAGGGGCATGCTTGACAATGAGGGCTGTCCCTACAATACAAGGGGGCTTACTATGAGGTAAAAAAGTAACCTGACAATAGACAAAAGGAGAAAAATGATAAAATCTTCCCAAAGATGCACAGAAATCATCTGATAAGATTCATTATCCATTCATGATTAAAAAAAAAACTCTTAGCAAATTTAGAAGCTAATAAAGGTTCTCTGTTTAAAAGAGAAACAGGGCTGCGGGGTGGCTCTGTCAGTTGAGCGTCTAATTCTCGATAGCAGCTCAGGTCGTGATCTCAGGGTCATGAGATCAAGCCTCACATCGGGCTCCACGCTGGACATGGAGCCTGCTTAAGATTCTCGCTCCCTCTGCCTCTGCGCTTCCCCACTCTAAAAAGAAATAAAAGAGACACAAACACAAATATCCACTCAAAGGGTTATGCCTGAATGTTCAAGGCAGCTTTCTTCATAGTAGTCCCACAATGGAAAAAAGCCACAGTGCTTGTCAGCGGTGGTGGGAACAGAAAGTGGTCCGTCCACACAATGGGTGCTGCTCAGCAACCAAAATGAACAAAAGACACAAAGGCACAAGAACTTCGCAGTGCATGTCCCACTGGACACACAGTTCTAGAAAAGGCAGATCTGGGAGCCCATGGGATGGCCAGTGGCAGGGACTGGTGGCTGGAAGTCTGAGGAGATGGCAGAGTTCTGGGTCAGGAGTGGGGTGTGGTCACAGATGCACCAAAAGACACCAACCACACAGCATGAAAGCTGTGGTGAACTTCAGTGTGTGTAAACTGTACCTCCATTAAAAAGTGCATTCTAAAATTTAAAAAAAAAAACAACAAACATCATTCCTGGTGGTGAAATTGGAAAAACAAAATAAAAACAAACTCCTAGTTTATACTAGGCATCTCCCCTACCCTTATCCCCAAATAATCAGTTCCAGGTGGACGAAGACCAATTGTGAGAGCAAAATTTAAACCTTTGGAAGATACTAGGGCAAACATCCTCCTGACCTCAGGGGAGGAAAAGATTACAAACAGAATCAAAAAGCACTAACCACAAAGGGAACGACTAATAAAATCAACTATGTTAAAAATAAGTACATCAGATAATCACAAAACACAAGAGTAGAAACAGTCACACCTGAGACGACGGTCCAGACAGGGCTCCACGAGGCTGCTCCAAGAACAGAGACTGAGCGGGACCTACCACGCCCACACACCTGTGTCCTGTCTGTCCCTGCTTTGGGATGGAGGAGTTTTGATACCATATGGCCAAAAAGCTACATTATTTGCTCAAAAACATTTGCCAATTCCTGCTCCAAGCAATAAAAGGAACCACAGGCACTTTACAGAAGAGAAAATCCAAATAAGCGTATTTTCAAACATTCAGCTTCATTAGTAACCCCGGAAATGCAAGTTAAAATCCCAATGAGGGTCTGCCACAGCTGTGCCTCATTGGTGAACACCTCCCTTGTGTCTGCTGGCCCCCCACCCCGTCAGACTGCTCTCAGTGAGATCCCGGTGATGAGGACATTACCAACATAAACTATCTGCAGGATCCACGGGGGCAGGGCTGGTTCCACCATGCACTGCACCGGTGCTGGAGCCTTCCAGAAGGGCCGGGTGGCATGTTTCTCTGCCACAAATTTCAGGCCCACCGCAGGCCTGCAGGCAGTCATCCTGTGCAAAAAGGCCCAGGCTCCCTGTGCACACCCCTCCAGTTGGCCCCTCCACCACTCACAGCTATGCACCAGCAACCCTAGCCAGGCCCCTCAGCCGCAAGTGCCTGGCTGGGTCACGCCCTCCCTCTGACTCCTGTGAGCGCCCATCGGGGGATGCTTCCCCAGCCCTCCATTCCCGTGGTGCACCAGCACCTCTGTCAGCCAGGACTATCTGTTAGGTGAATACACCAGGCTTTTTGCAGTGTGGACGTAATATGCACCTTTACTCAACATGATTTGGAAAGTAAAGAATAACACTAAGGAAAATCCCTACAACCCCAGCCCCCCCAGACTAATTGCTGTCCTTAATGTAATTGTGTATTTCCCTCTGTGGGTATGTCCTTAAATACTTGGAACATGTACATACACACCCTCATTTTTACTGGAAAATGGAAAGCCGCCCTCAGACAACGGATGATGCAATGACATGGGGCTTTCAGAACCACGAAGCTACCCTAGCTGTCTTCCCACGCCAACACACACAGCTCGGGCTCCCCGGCCACCGATCAGCTGTGCACCCTGGCCCAGGGATGCAGCGTGATGGCGGTGCCCCTATTGGTGGGCCCCCCCGGAAGCACCTTCCTCGGGGCCAGACCCACCTGCCCTTCCCTCCATTCCAGCAGCAGCCCAGACCCCCTCACGCCCGCCTGCCTGGGGACCCCGGAGAAGGAACCTGCCTCCCACAAATCCACAGCCAGCGCGTGTGCTTCGTCTCACGAGAACCTTCAAGTCTCCCGCTCTGTTTCCAGGAACATCTTAATCAGAATCATCAGCCCCTGGGGTGCCTGGCGGGCTCTGCTGCTAAGCCTCTGCCTTTGGCCCAGGTCATGATCCCGGGTCCTGGGATTGAGTCCCGCATTGGGCTCCCTGCTCAGCGGAAAGCCTCCTTCTCCCTCTCCCGCTTCCCCTGCCTGTGTTCCCTCTCTCACTGTCTCTCTCTCCCTGTCAAATAAATAAATACAATCTTCTAAAAAAAAAATCATTAACACAAAGTTGATCATAATACCTTAACCTTCACCAAACAGCTTTACTGAGAAATACTTGACAAAACATAAACTACACGTATTTTAGAAAGACGACTCAGCTTTGACGTTCGCCTGGGAAAGGACCAGCCCAGTGGAGATATGGATCCTCATCCCAGAGACCCCGATCTGCCCAGGAACTGCACTGAGGCAGCGTGTTCCGGGGGCTGTGTCCATGGCGTCATACGACTCGGCTCCCCTCACTTGTCCTGTTCTGGGGCTCGCTCACGCGGCACCCACAGCTCGTTCTCATTCCGAGCAGCGTCCACTGCTCTGTTGTTGGCTTGCTCAGCAGCAGACAGAGACCTGGGCTGTTTCTTGTGGGGCTGTCAGGGACTCATGGCCACAATGTCGTGTGGACGGATGCTCTGGAGTAAACGCCAACCAGGGGGTCACATGAGGCTGCTTGACAACTTTTTAAGAAACTGTCAACCTGCTTCCCCTCCCACCCCCAACCACATCCAAGCACCAGCTGCCTGTGCGGGGGTCATGCTTTCCTCTCCTCCCTCACCCCAGTCCTGCCCGTTTCTTCCTGAATGCCATGCCCTCTGTCCGCCTTCCGTGCCCACAGCCATCCCCTGGACACACCATGGCTCCCATAGAGATGGCAGAAGCACCCAGGACAGGCCTCCCTATGCCCACTCTCACCACAAATTCAATCTCGTGGACAAGTCTGAGCAACACACAGAAAAGCAAATCAGACATGTCCTTCCTGCATGAAAGCCTTGAAAGGATCCAGCCGTGCCCTCCTGCCATGCTCCAGTCTCATAAACCCCATCCACATCAGGACTCCATCCATGATCAGTGTCCACGTCAGGGCACGTCCATGCCCCTTGGCCTCGCCTGCCTCTGGCTGTGTGCGCACCATTCCCACCAGCCCGGCCCTCCATCCTCAGGGCATCAAGCTGGCTCCCTGAGCCCTCTGGTCGGGTGACCACAGCACCAAATCTAACGCCGTTGCTATCCTGTCCCCACACTGTCAGCCTCTTCAGGGTGCTGTGCCCAGCCTGCCCCCCGTGGCACTGTGAACCCCCACAGCAGGGCTCAGGCTGCCCCCTCACTGTGGCCATGATGTCTGGCAGAGCACCCACCCCAGAGCTGCCCAATCAACCAGAGAGATTTCTGTCTTCATCCATTTCCACAAGAAAATCACCAAACTGCTGAACTCTGCCCCATGCCCAGTGCCCTCTCCTCCCAAACCAGCCTGCTCCGATTTTGGATGCTTATGTGTCTCCACACCTGCTGTCCCATCTGATGGGCCTTCCTCTTCCTCTCTCCCCCAACTAGAGCACCTGTGTTAGCACACAGTGTGTGCTTAAGAGTCCTACTTTCTGGTGTCTGGTCACTGCAGCTTCTTCTCTATGGCCTCCCTGACCCCACGATCCTGCCTCCCAGGAATCCGGTGCCTCACTAGTCTCCCTGTGGCACCCAGCTAACCCATTCCCTGCGTGGTCCTGCTCCCCAGCAGGGCTCTGGCACGTGGCGGGGCTCATGCACTCGAGGACAGAATCACCAGGTCTCAGGCAAGGCCTGCAGGAATGGACACTCCACATGTGGGCCAAATACCCAGAATTCACTGCCGTCTCAAGATGAACAGAACCGTATCATGAATGTGCCTTGCGGGGACACTGAAGTCAGGTTAAGATGATGAAAGAAAGTGAAATTTAGATGTGTTTCTATGTGACGATGTACTGTCACAAAAGCTTTTTAAAAATATGAGTAACAAAAAAGTGCTTTGAATTCAGACTCTCAAAAGTGTTCATGACTCAAAGGACAGTGAAGTCCGTGCTCCATCTTCTTCCCTAACTTGGACCTGACACCCCACCCCCAGCCCCACCCCCAGGTCACCAAGGTCTCAGCCTTGCAAAAAGCTGAGGACTGCCTCCCCAGGCCTTGTCCTCGCTTCCCCACTCAGGGATGTCAGAGGCCATCACCCACAGCTGCTCTTCCCATCACTGGGTGTTCTGAGGACAACAGGATGCCTAATGTGTTAAATGAGTGACTAGGAATTCACTGATATGGTAGACTGATGACCATGTCCCTTGCTGAATTTACTCCCAATCTTCACTTCTTAAATAAAGGTTTATATACATTTGGAAGTCAGTGATCTGAGATACAGTCCCCAGGGTGGGCTCCCAGGCGCCTGTCCCTTGAGCCCAGCCCACCCACTTCCAGTCACATCCCACTGGCCTCTCACTTTCATGCTTACACCGCTCAATGCTCCCTGACCCCAAATTCAGACGCTAACCTGTGGTCCACTTGGAAACCTGGCATCTCCAAGTGTATAGTCTGGATTTCCTGTCCACATCGGCTCATCCCATCTGTGGCTTCTCACTTACTTGGCACCCATGTGCAAGAGGTAAGGACAACTATACCCCTCACACTTACCCTACTGGACTGTGTTCAGGCACACCAAGCCACACTCACCCCCGACGCAGCTCCCAGGAATCCCGAGGAAATGCGAGTCTGAGCAGGTGGCTTTGTGGTATAAAACTCTCCAAGGGCTCAGGGAAAGCCAGAGCCTTCCAGTGGCCACTGAGGTCCCAAGCCACCCCTCTCACTCCACTCTGGCCATGGTGGACTCCTTGCTAGTTCTAGAACATTCTATGTGTACTCCCACCTCATGGCCCTTGCACCTACTGTAGCTGGAACATCGTCTCTCAGGTGGATACACGGGAACTACCCTACTACCTCCATCAAGCCTTTTATCAAATGTCATCTACCCAGCAACGCCTTTAGGGACCATCTGGTTGACAATTACATGCCCAGTGTGCACACACCACAAATTTAAGATATTACCCTTGAATTTATAATACACCTATTTATGTCACTACCCATCTCCCTATACAACAATGCCAGCCACGTGACTAGAGCTATTAAAATTTCAATAAAAAGGTTCTATGATAAAGTTGAGAAAATCTTCTCAAAGAATAGATTAAGATAGGAAATGGAAAAGATCCAACATCCAACCAATAGGTGTTTTAGAAAAAACAGAAAACCGAGATAAGGAGCTTTCAAATATACTTTAATATTTTATTTCTTAAGCTGGGTAATAAGTACACAGGTGTTCATTGTATCTTTCTCTATGCTCATTTGTAGGCAGTATTTCATGATTTGGGAAAAATTATTCAAGTATTTCCCCAGCTGGAAGAACCATCAGACCACAAAGGCCTGAGTGCCTGGCACAGTGAGGGAAAATCCCCACATCTAACCAAGTCCTGGAAGTGGAAGACATCAAGGGTACAAGAAAGGGTCCTACAGGTTCTGGGAGGAAAGGAGCTCACAGTGGAGTGGGACTCAGCACCAGACTTTTCATCAGCAACAGTGAATCCTACCAGCAAAAGAAGTAATTCTTTCCAAGTTCTGAGGAAAAGAGACTTTCATGTGGAATTCTACATCCAGCCAAACTATCAACCAAGTATGGTTGGAAGCCATGGTGTTTTCCGACGTCTCAGGAAAGGTGCTCAAATACTCATCCCAGGCATGCCTACGGAGACAACAAGTGTGCTCACATGTTATCACAGGCCTTGTGCTCAGGGAGCTCCCATTCCAGCTGGTGACGAGACATGACAAACTCATCAGCAAAGAGTGATGAGCACCGTGAAGAAAGCAGAGGAAGGCAGCGAAGCAGAGGAAACAGGTGGAGGGGCTGCTTTAGACAGTGACCAGAGGAGAGCCGGTGCGGAGGAACGTCTGACCTTGGACCCGGAGGGAGGGGTCAGAGCAGCAGGCACCCCACCGATGGGTCAAGGGGCCCCCGAAGTGCAAGAGGATCACTTTGTGGCCGGCTGGCCTGGAGGACGAGGCATCCACACGGGACAGGGGGACGAGGACAGAGGGCCAAGGAGGGCACGAGTTCAGACACGATCCTTGAGAATTTGGAACAGGAGACAGTAATGTCAGATAATGTCAGGAAAGAGGGAAGGTGAGATTAGAACTCAACCGTAAAACAGATCATTATATAATCATACCCATTTTAACTCCCAGATCCAACCCCTGGAGAAGATGAAAAACATGTTATGAAAAGGGGCTGCAGGACCCCAGGACTCTTCCAGTAGCAGCCAACTGATGAGTTGGCTCTGCTGCAGACATGCAATCCCATTCATGAAAAAGGCCAACTCAGGGTAGAGACAAGAGCCCAGAGGGCGAAGCACAGAACGAGCGGGCTCACCCTGAGCTCAAAACCCAATCAAGAATCCCAATGGGACATCCCCACCGGGTTTCAGAACTGCGTTGGGCCTGTGACTCCCTGCTATGTGCCCTCCTCCGTTCTCAACTGGTAATCTACACCTGTCTTGCTGGGGGGGGGGGGTGGGGTACTGGGAAGGCGGTCTGTCTCACTTGGTTCACAAGTGTCCAGGAGTAGCAGCCAGTGGACTGCACCAAGCGGGTGATCCAGGGGATGAGATTCCAGAACTCTGTGGTTCAGGCAAGGTCTGGGATTCTGAGCGGGTGCTATTGTGGGACGAGACCCTAGGGAACCTCAGAAGAGGGACAGGTGTATTTGGCATTTGGGAGGATATGAATTTTGGGGCAGTAGGACTGTGGCAGGGAGAATCCTGAGATGGCCATGAGATTCTGGGCCCTGGCATACTTCAGTCTCCCACCTTACTAACCCTCGGTACTGCTGCAAAGGGATTTTTGAGGACGTAATTAGGGTTTCAAATCAGCTGACCTTAAAATAGGGTAAGCCAAAGAGCACGGTCATTCAAAGCAGAGTTTTCTCCAGCTCACAGCAGAAGAGCAGGACACAGGGGCGAGTCCTACCTGCCCGGCAGAAAGCAACTTGCTGTCAACTACCCACAGTCCTTGGACGAGGAACTGTGGGGCCACTAGGAGCTGAGGGCAGCCCCCAACTGACGGCCTGCAACAAAGCAGAACCTCAGTCCAACAACCACAGGAGGTGGGCGAGTGAGCTCAGAAGATGACCCGAGTCCCGGATGAGAGCCTCAGCCCAGCACATGGATTTCAGCCTCTGAGGCCCTGAGCAGAAGAGCAGCCACACTGTGCTAGACTTCCAACCCATGGAACTGGGACTAGTAAGTCAGTGTCCTGTTAAGCCACTAATTTTGAGGCAAGTTGTTATGCAGTGTTAGAAAATTAATGTAACTATATTTAAAGACATGGAGTTAAATAGCCCAAGAAAGGGCCAGTTTCCCAAGCATATAAAACAGAGTGACCACAAGTCCTGGGGACATTTTCATTTGGCAACTATTCTCCCAATTCTAGAGACAAGGAACAGGTTAATAAACAAGTAGCAGAAGCTGCCGCCCCTTGGTCTGTAGTGAACTGTGCCCACCTCAAATTCCTGTGTTGGCGCCCTAAGCCATGTCCAAAGACGGAGCATCTGGGGCAACATGGTCAGATGTATAAGGATGGGCCCGGATGCGATTAGCGTCCATGCAAGAGGTGCTGGAAGAGGGCTTCCACCGCCAGGAGGCAGCCGGCCCGTACCCCGAGCGACATCGACTGGCACCTTGGCCTTGGGCTTCAGCCCCCAGGACAGTGAGAAATAAATGCCTGCTGCTTAAACCACTCCGTCTGTGATGTTCTGCTGTGGCGGCTGACTAAGACACCTCCCTTGTGGTTTCGGATTCTGTCTTTGTCGCCAGAGTGCCTTTAACAAAAGGCTGGGGGAAACCAACTGCCTCTAGCCATTTCTGTCTCTACAGTAAGAAAGGCACTTACTTTAGGGTAAAGAAATGTTACTTGTCAGCAAAAGTCCTATTTCCATTAGCAATTTCAAACCCTTTCCAAGCACTGAACCCTCTACAAAGTCTGCTTAAAGCACTGGCACGGAGGATCAGGGCTCGCTCCTCCATGAAATGGCCAGAGGCTGCACCCCCATCAGAAATGAGACAGGGAGGGCCTAGCTGACTTTCCCATGGCAGGACACTGGGAACTGTGGCCCCAGAAGCGCGGCTGGCAGGACTGATCCAAGTAGCAGGACCTGACTGGGTGTCCCCGATGGTGCAACATAAAGCACTCACTGGCCCCTGCGAAGGCATCTCCCAGGCCTGCAGCCTGACTTGGCCTCTCCCCCATTCCTTCAGTTCAGAGTACACAAGGACAACAAAGGTGGATGACATCTTAAGTGAAGAATCGGAAAAATCCAGGTGTGACACATAGCCTGCAAAAGTCAACCCTGTGGAGGGCAAGAGGGAAACCTAAGAAGACACAGGGGCCATGACCCCCAGTGCCACCCAGGGAACCCACCTATGCCTTGTCCAGGAGGCGCAGGACACCCTGTGCCATCCCAGGACTCTGCCTGGATCTGGTTGGGGAAAACGCCACAGAAGACATTCCTGAGACAAGTCGGGAGATTGGAAAATGAACAGAAAATGAGCTAGTATGTGAACCGAGTGCCCATTCCTCAGGTGTGAGAATGACACTGTGGTTGTGCGGAGACCATCCTGATCCCATGACCTGTGTGCTCAGAATTACTGAAGGGATTGGGAGGTTGTCTGTAGCTACTTTCAGGTGATTCAGTGACAATAAATATGTATTTAGAAAAAAGAGATAAAGCAAACACGGCAAAGCATAAATAATTGCTAGATCAGGGTGGGGTATAGAATCCTTTCTGTTTTCCTCCACTGTGTTTTTTTCTGAAATAAAAATGGAAAGGCTGATCCTTCTCTGCTCCTCACATCCCAGCCATGGCCTGCATCTGTTTCCTCCCAGGCACACAGGGGTGATCAGAGAGCAGACGTGGGGTGGCTTTAAGAACCAGATGAGCTGACACACACAGTATCTCCAAGACAGGGCCACACAAGGTGTGAATGAAGATCAGACTTCAATTCTTTGTTGTGCATCTAACACTGGCCAGGCCCTGCTGAGCATCACCACTTTCTGCCCCCATAAAACCCACAGTTAGCAGGGGCTTCAAAGAAGAATGCAGACAGCTTTCTACTGTTGGCATATTTCTTGCTAAACATCTGGAATACGTTAACAGCATGTTAACGTAGCAAAGTCCAGTGAATACTGATTCATTTGCAAAATAATCCAATTAACTTCCACTCCCCATGTTCACCTGAATATTAGAAGTTCTCTTCAAAAAAGCATTCAACCCCACAACTAGTTTTTAAGGATATATTTTCTAGCGCGTTTTATTTCTTATCAATGAGTTTTGCTTAATTTAACAGACAATTCTGAAGATGTGCCTAAGCAAGGCTCACACCTTAACTCTCTCATCATGTGTTAAGTGTTTCATTATTGTTGTCCTTTGGCCTTCAAAGAATTCAGTTCTGTAGGGAGGAACATGGCAGATCAGAAAAGATACGCTTATTATTTTTAGAGGTCTTACTTCTTAAAATTTAATGACAAACTATCAACTTGTAGAGCAGTATAGTTCCATTTTTTGAAGCACAATGAGAATTGGGCAGCATTTCTGTACTACAAACAGCAAATATCAGAAGGGTAGTAAGAAACTGTCCCCAAACCTCAACATATTTCAATAGTAAAATTACATTTTCAATTTCAAATTCAATTCTGACCAATAAGCAAACAGCTTCAAATGAAATAATAAATCCTGGCATTCGAGAAAGCGCAAGTATAAACCAAAATAAACCTTCCTTTATAATTCAATCTAACAACTCAAATAAGTAATTCCAATCACTGGCAAGAGGCCCCTTCCTCCCACTAGCAAGACCTGGACCCCAGCAGGTCCAGAAAGAACTGGGCAGCAGGAGGGGACACATCCCTCTGCAGAGGGCTTCCACAGTGCGCTTTACAGCCCTCACTCCAGCCCCCGCCCGGGGTGCCAGAGAGAGGCATGGCACCAGAGTCCATGAGCTCCAAGGAGCCACAGGCCCTGAGCACTGAGGCCCTTACATTCTGGCTCCTGGAGCATGACTTCCTTACAAGGGTCAAATATCTAAAATGTCTCAGGCTCTTACTCCTGAAAAACTTTTTACAAAGGTCAGTTTATAATTCCTGGAGCAAAATCTCAGGCAGGACTAAAATGATGCTCTGGAAACACTGAAATCATTGAACTTGAAGCTATCCAAGAATTCTACAGCACTCAATTTAATTTGCAGGGTTGGCAGGGGAGTTGCTTATGGTTTGCTCCAGGTGTAATTCCCAAGCATCTTCCCTATTTATAATTTATCTTCCCTCCTGTGTAAGTTCCACTGGCTGTGGTCATTATGGTGACATCAGAGGAACCTATACAATCAAAGAGAGCTGAGTCGTTGCAACCTTCTACTGAACGCACTGTTCTCTATCCAATTCTGCTAATTGACTTGCGGGTATTTCTCAAGTACAGGCCCTATATTAGCTGAAATCTGCTAAGTGACAGGCATTAAGATGACCACAGTGACCATCACCCCCACGCCCAGTACACACACCCTAAGCCTAACCCTAACCCAGTGACGAGGTTCTAACAAAGAGAATATGGCAAAAGGGATGGGATGTCCCTGCCAAGATTAGATCTCGAAGACTGTGGCCTTCTTGCTTGCTCTCTTTTCTGCACTGGCTCCCTCTGACTTGCCCTATGAAGAGCCCAAGTGGCCGAGCAAGCAGGCCTGGAAGCACAGTCAAACACACAGTCAAACCTTCAGATGAGACCACAGCTCCAGCCAGCACTCTGAAGGCAGCCTTATGAGACTCTGAGTCAGAGGACTCAGCTAAGCTGTGCCTGGATTCCTGACCCACAGAAACGGTAAAATAATTAACTGATGTTTTAAGACACTAAGTTTTGGGGTAATTTGTTGGGCAGCAATATATAAATAATGCAACCATGCAGGACTATCACACCTTTAAAAATGCAAAAATAGGAAATTAAAGAACCTAACCAAAGCTGAATGCTCAATTTGGCAAGTCTTCTCCAAAACTTCAGAAAACAAATTAAGTTTTAAAAAAGGTACAAAAGTACAACAACAAAAAAATCAGAAGTAAGTGCTGAGTAAGAAGGTCCCAAGTGTGGTTACATTTGGCGAATAAAAGTTCCTAAGCTGGACTATTTGGGGACTCCATTTGCTTAGGATTTGGTCTTATAAAATGCCAATCTGAAAACCTAAACGGGTCTTCTCCCAAGTAACCAAGCAGTAAAGTTGTGGCACAAAGTGAAATACTGAACTGACCAGTTCAAGTGTCTCTTTAGGGAGTTCATAGAGCTCAGAGTGTTAGATTTTTATCTCATCCTACTGCCCAATCTCTGGATCAGTTTGCAAGCCTAACACACGCTGATCTTTCTACAAGTATTCCTGCCTTTCACTCGTTCATTCACACTCACTTCTTCATTTAATAGTTGCGTGCTACCTGCTGACCTCACGCCGGGCAGCCAGTTCTGGGAGCTGAGCTGGACAATGCCCTTGCCCTCCTGGGCTTTTCATTCTCTCAAACTCCTCCAGCATTATCTTACTGGACGCACTCTGGAGCCAGTCCCCAGTCAAAGAGTAGCACATACCACACCCTACTTTTTCATCAGCACTTTCAAATTAAAGGAGAACACGGGCTAGTTTTAGATGAAAGTGTCATTCAAAGGTTTCAGAGAAGCAAAGACCCCCATTGTTAGGTCCTTTAATATCTTCCTTTCCTGGAGTGGAGAAGGTGCCTAATCCACTCACCTGATATATATGCTCATCTGCTCCAACTTTCCTGCCCTGGGCCAGTGCCCCCAAAACACTTTCCTAGGCTTCCAACACTCCTGGTTGGACCCACCCCTCCTGGACCTTCCTGTACACCTGTGAAAGGACATCCTGAGACACCAGTCTCAGGATGGAGGGCACACCTACACAACCATATGACCTCCACCAATGGAGGGAGAGAAGGGCTGGAGTGGTTGAAGGTGATGAACACTGACCACAAGGCCAAGGCAAAAGACAGTAGCCCTGGTGTAGGGGCTGAAGAATAGAGTAGGGGACAGCTTTCTGGATCTGGGGAGTGAGCACAGTGCTGGCTTGAGGCATGGAGCCAGTGTGGACTAGGAGCTCCACTTGAATCCCTATAGGCATGAGGATGGGTTCCCACCCTGCTTCACATGTGCCCCTGGGGCCCAGCCAGGCAGCATCTGCTGAAGGCCAGAAGGTCTGTAGGCCTGGCCCAGGTGCTCCTAACATCAGGGTGCTCGGGGGCCTCAGAGAGACTTGCACTGTAGGGCTCAGGTGACCAGGATCCCCGATGCTCCCAAGCTTTCATAGCAGGTGGATCCAGTTGCATAGAATGGACACATTAAGGGCCCCTGCCCTAGGGGTCCAACCTTCTGGAGGGCTGGCTTGGGGTTCCAGCATCCCTTATAGTCCACTCTTGGGGTCTGGGTGATTCCTATCTACTTGTTCAGGAGTTCAGGCCTTCTGAGTGACCTGTCTCCAAGTTCCAGCTCTTGTCAGGGTCCTGGCCCTCCTGGAGAACCTAGCTTCTTCAAGGTCCTGCCCCAGCATCCAGATGTTCCCAAATGACCTACCTGGGGCCCTGGTCATCCCCGGAGCCTGTAGCATGGGATGAACCCTCCTTAAGGCACGGTCCCAGGGTCCTGGCCTCCCACTTGGAAGGGGCTGTATCAGGACGTCAGAAGTGCTCACAGGACTGTTCCAGGATCCCAGCCCTCTTTGGGGCCAGTCTTGGTGTCCTGGCCCTCCTCAGTGACCCAGCCCTCCTTGGGTCCTGCCAGATCCTGGGGTCTGGCCCTCCTCGGTGACCTATCTCAGAGTCCAGCCCTCTCTGGCTCCTGTCCGGTCTCAAGGTCCCAGTCCTCTTTGGTGACCCGTACTGGGGCTGGACCCTCCTGGATGACCCATCCCAGGGCTGGACTCTCCTCGGTGACCTATGTCAGGGTCCGGCGCTTCCTGTCTGGTGGGTTTGGGGTCTAGCCCTCCTCCGTGAATCCTTTCAGGGTCTGGCCTTCCCAGCTGGCCCGTCCCGGGGTCCGGTTCTCCCCGGTCCCTCCCCGATGACCCGTCCCGGGGTCCGGCCCTTCCCCGTGACCTGTCCCGGGTCCCGGCCCCGTGGGTCCGGCCCGTGCCCGGAGCGTGCCGAGCCGTGTCGGGGCTCCGCGGGCCGGGCGAACGAGGGGCGCAGGGGCGCGGGCCGGGGTTCCGAGCCTTCCGGGCCCGCACACCGGCCGAGGCCGCGGCCTGAGGAGCGGGCGCCGTGGGCCAGGCCAGGCGGGGCGCGGACTCACTGACCTGCCGTCTCGGCTGCGGGCGAGCGGGGCGCACGCGGGGGCAGCGTCGGGAGTGGGGGGGGCGCCGCTCCCTCCGGGTCCCCCCCAAGAGCAGGAGAAAAAAACCCGTCCGGAGTTTAAAACAAAGAGGCGGAAATGCCCGAACGGAGCCGAGCGGCGAGTCGGGGGCGCCGCGCATGGAGCATGCGCGTTGCGCGGCCCGGCTCCCACCCCGCAGCCGAGAGGGGGCGGGGCCAGCAGGGGGCGGGGCCCGAAGGCGCGGCCGGGGCGTGGTCACAAGGCGCAGGCGCTTTTGGGCAAGGCTCCACCGAGGGAGCTGGAGCTGGAGCTGGGAAGGTGCCGGGGGCGGGGCTTGCAGAGGAGGCGGGGAATTGCGGGGGCGTGGCCGGAGGGGGCGTGGCCCGCGGGTGCTGCGCTGGAGTTGGGGGAGCGTCCTGCTGGACATAGGACCCAGTAGGCATCCGGCGCTGAGGCCAGCGCCCGGGTCGGGGCGTTCTTGTGGCAGAGTCGGTCTTGTTCTTGCGATCCAGTCCTTTCTGGGACCTAGCACCGAGCGCTCCCCGTGCACCAGGCAGGACAATGGGCTGCAGGGCTGACCCCGCAACTGCGTGAGTCCACCCTTGCACCGGTTCTGCCCTGGAACTGTAAGTAGTGACTGTGACGTCCCTCCCTCTGTGGGTTCCACACCTTGGCCCGGGGGGAGGCAATAACATAGGGAAAAATAAATCAGGTGTCATGTGGGAGCCAGATAAACTGGGTGGGGGAGGCAGTGGATGTGTGGAGTGTTAAATAGGGTGGATGGGTACATAAGGGACATAGAAGGAGCTAGCCAGAGAGGCACAGAGTAGGAACACAGAGGGAACGAGCCCTGCAAATATCTGGAGGTGGCATTCACAGGCAAGCTGTCCTGCCAGCACCAAGCTGCAAAGTGGGGGGACTGAAGGATGCTTGCCAGGGGCCAGCATGGAAGTCAGAGGGCATGAGGCGTGGAGAGGGAGGAGATGAGGTCAGATGGAGAGGTCCCTGGGCATTCTGGGCAGAGTAGTGATGGAATGGCACTGGCACGGTAAAACCTTCCTCTGTTTGTTTGTCTTGCTCGTCTGGCAGGAGCGGCACAGAAGGCAGTGCAGGGGTGAAGTCGTGGTGCTGCCTGGGTGGTGCCCAGGAGGGGAGGAAGTGTAGACTGCTGGGGCCAGCCTGAGAATAAGCAGGATGGGTGAGGAACAACAGGAAGGGTGGACAGCCTCTGAGAATCTGGGGATGGTGATGGAGTGCAGGAGAGTGGGGTCAGGAATGCAACTGTCATATCCATTGGACTCCCCGTGGTGCTGCTGTGGAGCTGTGGGCTTCGGGAGTATAGTCTGAGTTTGCAATGTTTGGAGATGGATGCGTGAGTCCAAGCGGTGAGTGAGGAATGAGGGTACTGAGCCTCTGCCCACATGGAGAAATCAGCGAGTCCAGGAGAATCCAGCAAGAAAGACCCTGATTGAGCAGACTGGGGAGGAGGATCCCCAGGGGTGAGTGATGTCTGGTCAGCTGCTGAGAGGGGTATGGGGAGTGGGACTCTTCTGGGACTTTGACCAGCGCAGTGTGGATGAATTGCCTAGGTAAAAATTGAATTATTGTGGGCTCAAGGGAGGAGAGTAAATACAGACAACTTTCCAGGTGTTTTGCTTTGGAGGGGCTTCTGGGACTAGAAGGCTGTTTTCTGTCTGGGTCATAGCCTCAGTGGTGTTGGTGGGGTACAGGGAGAGATGACCACATTGGAGAGAGGGAAGGCTGCCTAATCTGAAGTCCTCACCTGGGACTGGGGACTGGATCTGGGGTGGGGGGCTCTGGGAGCCCTTTGCACTTGGGGAGGAAGGCCCTGATGCAGAGAGTGGGGCCTGGGCAGCATCTCGACCAGTTGTTTCTCTTTTCCAGTGAGATGGCAAGCTAAATTGAACTAGTCTGCAGTGGAGGTCTGGGTAGCAGAGGTGGGGATAAAAGGCCAGGAACAACCCTGGGCACAGGGCAGTGACCCCAGGAATCTGATGGCCCTCTGACACTGTAGCCATCTGTCTGCAAATGGGGGAGAGCCAGGGTGTGTGCATGAGGCATGGCTACAAGTCTCTCTCAAAGAGCGGAGACAGGACATCTGCCCTGCCTGCTCTCTCCAGGGACTTCGTCAGCAACAACACCCCAGACCTGAACCCTGGGCTCCTGTATCCAACTGTCTGGCCACTTCTCTGCTGGGCTATCTTTAGGGAGCTCAGGCTCTGGTATCATGTGTCCACTCCTGATCTCCCCTCAAGCCTGCTACTCACTCCAGCCCCCACCGCAGAGAACAGCACTCCATCCTGCCTGCTAAGCTAAGACACTGGGATCCTTTCTTCCAAGCCCATATCTGTCATCAGCTCCTCTCCTGGCCAGTGCTCACTCTGCCCATGGTTTCAAGCCCAGTCCAGATGCTGGCTATGCTCCAGTGCTTATGCATCATGTGTCCCTCCAGTGAACAGCAGACATCATTCTCACCAGGTTCAGGACACAACTCGGGGCTACACCAGGTGACCTGCTTCCTTCCATCTTCCTCATCTCAACCAATAGCCACTCCGTCTTTTCTGTTACTGGGGCACAAATTCTCGGACTCATTCCTGATTCCTCTCTTTCTCTGTTTTCTCATGTCCAATTCCTGGGGAAGTCATGGGGGCTCTATCTTCAAATATGCCTTCACCCAACCATGGCTCTTGGACTCTGCCACGCTGCCCTGACCTACCTAAGCTCACCTGTTCTGTCTGGGTGTTTCTGCCACCTCTGGCCCACTTCTGGTCTATGCTGAACAGAGCAGTTAGTGAGCTGACCCTTCAACACCTAAGGCAGAGGGTACCAGGCCTCTGCTTACCAGCCCAGGGGCTGCTCTAGGTCTCCAAGGTCCTGCTTTGACTCTGGCCTGGCCTTGGATACTCTCCCCAGCTCACTTCTTCCAGTAGCATGGTTCTCCTGGACATGCCTGCTCTCACATTCAAGGCCTAGCAGAGCCGCTTCTAGACCTGGGTGGTCCATCCACGCTGCTCATGAGGTTCCTCCCTCCCTCAGGTCCACTGAGCCCTCTCCTGACCAGTCTGGTGCTGGCAAAACACTGGCAAAAATGTAAAAAAAAAAAAAAAAAAAGGCTTGGACAAGGCTGCTAATTGAAACATCATCTGTAACAGAAACAACCGGAGCTGGCCAGCAAGGCCTCTGGAGTCAATGTGCTCTGTGCATCTGACGGCAGCTGCGGCAGGAGTAGCAGACACCTGCCTGCTCCACCACAGGCCACCCACCACCAGGGAGGAGAGACAGGGTGTGCTGCTGAGAGAGGCAGGGTGCAGGGGCACCTGGGGGGCTCCGTTGGTGAAGCATCTGCCTTCCGCTGGGGCTGTGATCTGTGGGTCCTGCGATGGAGACCCTATCAGGCTTCCTGCTTCAGGGGGAGTCTGCTTCTCCTTCTACCTCTGCCTCTCTCTCCTGCTTGCACACTTTCTTGCTCTCTCGGTCTCAAATAAATAAATAAAATCTTAAAAAAAAAAAGGTAAGCAGGATGGAGACAAGTGTGTGCAGACTGCTGTGAGTCATCCCATAAGTGAGGGTTACTGTGCACTCCGTGTGCCTGCCTGGGTGAGAGTCCCTGTGGGCTGCAGCTGGCCAGCGGCAGCAGCAAGACGTGTCAGAAAACAGAGAGAGGTAAAAACAGCAAAACAGCAATCAGGTGAGCTGCGCTGATCTCACACACACACAAATACACGTCTGTCTACACAACAAATGGGTACCCATTTCCAAGGGACACCAGAAAAATGTGGTAAGTATGTCATTCCGCACACAGAATGTCATCCTGTACAATGCACAGAAGAATCGGATACTAATTTCAACCACGCAGGGGAAAAACTTTGACACCCATATCATTCACACAGAGAAATTAGACACTCACATCTCCCCCTCTCTCTCACACACACACTTACCTTCCACCTCAGAAGGCCATGCTAAAAGATCCATCATGCCATATCCACAAAGAAAAAATTAGGTACCTGTTGAAGTGTTTTTATTTTTTAAGATTGATTGATTGATTTTAGAGAGAGAAAGAGAGAGAGAGCAAGCATGGGGGAGGAGCAGAGGGAGATGGAGAGAGACTGTCCACCATGCACAGAGAGCCTGACACTGGACTTGATCTCACAGCCCCTGTGGAGGTATTTTTTAGAAAGTAGATCCTGTTGAGAGGTGGTTCTCCATGAATTTCTCAGGTTTCTGTTTCTGCCTGGTCCAGGTATGTCCTCAGAGCAAAATCACTTATAGCCTAGTTAAGGATGTTTGTCTCAGAGACATTCCGGAGAGTCAGGAACAATGCCCATCCCTTCTTTTCCCTGGAGATGTACTCACATTCCAGCATGAAGGTTGCTCTCTCTGGGATGCAGGGTGGTATGAGATAAGAGTGTCCTGTGTCAGGCTTCTTCTCTGGAAGTGCACCCCAGGGCAGGTGCATGCCATCTGCCCGCCCATGGAGATGAGAACTGGAGGAATCAACACAAGGTGTTACTGTAGCTGCAAGGAACAGGTGCTGCTCACCCCTGACCCAGGTCCCGGAGTTCCTGCATACACATACATTTGACCTGGGTAGGCTGGCTTCTGAGCTCACAAGTAGAGCAAAATCTCAGACCCAGCACAGCTTCTGATGTAACACAGGCATATCACACACACACACACACACACACACACACAGTAGAAGCACTTCACAAACTACACACCAAAGAATTAGATGCCTGTTTTCCCATTTCACCCTGCTACGCATACACAGGAGATAGAGGCCCATCTTGCACCACACATTTCAAAACCCACACGGTCTTACATAACACAACATAACACACACTAGGTACCATCTGGTATTTGACACACACACACACACACACACACACACACACACACACACAGGTGAACATCAGCCCATGCACGGTAACACTAGATGGCCACCTCTCTCTCTCATATACATACTAGATACTACTCTACACCATGCACATACAAAAAACTGTCCACTTCACTATGAACAAACAGAAAAGTGAGAACTCAGATCCTTTCTCTTTTTTATCAGACAGAACAGGTCTGAGTAACAAGAAAAGAGTTGGACCCCAGAGTTCTTTGTGAGATGGGCTAGCCAGATGGGGCTGCAGATACTCGTCTTGACTTTGTGATGGAATGAGCCTCCAAGGCTGGCTTCCCTCCACTGTGGGAGAGGCAGAACAGATCAGGAGGAGGCAACCCCAAGGGGCTTCTCTCTGGTGGGGACCAACTGGAGCACAGACCACAGTGACCAGAAACTTTCTTCCTCTAATGAAACAGGTTCACATTCCAGTGCAGACTCCCTGATGGGCCGCCCATATGGATAAGGATGAAGTCACAGCATCCTTTTTGAGGCAGCCTGAGAGTCTAGACTCAGATTTGCTTACTCGGTTCCCTGCTGTGGTGCAGCATTGGTGTGTGGGGGCTTTCAGCAGCCGTGAACTTGGGGAAAGCAGCATGGGGTAGACATGAGTAAAGATGTGGGTGGGAGGGTGTGTCTGGAATCTGAAGGCTCAGAGGCTCCTGTCCAGGATGCACATTGCAGGGCGGGGTGGGGGGAGTGGGCCGCCCTGTGGAGAACCTGCTGGACAGGACAGGGGCAAGGCAGAGAGGTCACCCATCCCACACACTTGTCTGTTCTTCCACTGGTGTGTGCTGGCCCCAGCCTGTTCCAGGGATTCGGGAATGGACAGACTGGCTCCTGCCCTCAAACAGCTGACATACTCTTGAGAGGAGCAGATAAAAGCCAAGTAAAAACCAAACAAGCAGGATGGACTGTGAGCATCTCATCATCTGAGGTGAGATTTCTTTCCCAATATCCTCAGCGAAGAAGGTGTTCCTGGGCTCCATTCTTGGCAAAGGGACTGCTTTCAGTTGCTTAATTTTGAACAAAATATTGTTTGGGGAAGACACAGTGGCCTGAAAAAGCCTTGATTAATGCTACTTTGGGATGCTAATGGGAGTCTGTACTTGATTAAGAAAAAAAGGAGATATAAAACAATTTTTTTAAAAGAAAAAGAAAAAAGGAGATAAAAAATTGGAACAAAGATTTAGTCATAATTGTGTGTCAGATGTTATTTTAAACAAACCTTTATTTAAAAAATTTTTTTTTTAAACAAACCTTTAAAGATCACTTTTAAAGGAAGACCCTGGGTGGAGATCACTGAAGGGTTTCTTCAAGATATGGTGGTCCCAGCGGTGTGCCGATGGATTCTGGGTGCGGAATGGTCCTTCATGGATGGTGTTTTACCTTGATTCAAAACTTGAACAGCTTAAATGCTTATGCTGAAGATACTCGCCCAAATTTTTAAATAAAGTGTGAGAGTGGAGAAAGTTGTTTACTTTCCATGTTATGTGAGTTTTTAAAATCAAACTTATTTTGAGATAATTACAGATTCAAAAGCAGTTGTAAGATGTAAAACAGAGATTCCTTGTACATTTTGCCCATTTTCCCCCAAAGGTAACATCTTCAAAACACAACCGCATGATATCACAGCCATGACACCAACACGGATGAATGGCCATCTTAGATTTCTCCAGTTTTGCTTACACGGACGTCACAAGGCTGTGTCACATGTAGACTAGTAGACTCCTTCCCACTGCCACAGTCAAGACAGTATTTCCATTGCCAGGAGGACCCCATCTCCCTCCCGCTCCCTCTTCAAACCACTGATCTGCTCTCCACTTCTAAAATTTTATCTTTTCAAAAGTGTCAACAAGTGGAATTTGTGCATATTAATAAAGGGGACCCTCACTAAAATGGAATAGGGAGGCTCTACAGGTGAAGACACAGCAAAAAGAGAGGGACTTTGAAAGTAAACCAGTGCCACTGTAGCTACTACTTTATCCCAGAGGGAGGAAAGCTTCCACCTTCCCCAGCAACAGCCTAGCCAATGAGAAGCCAGTACACTTCCACCTCCCAGTTTTACCCCAATGGACTTTCTGTTTTCCTCCCAACTTCCTCTTTCCTCTTTCTTTTCCCAGACTAGCCTTTGGTTTTGTTGTAGGTTGCTTGCCCTGGACTGTGATTCTCTGCTATTCCCAAATAAACCCATTTTTTGCTGGTAAAATAACTGGCAGTTTCCCTTTGAGGTTGATAGATTATACAGTATGTAACTTTCTGAACTTGGATTTTTTTCCCCACTCAGCATAATTACCCTGAGATTCTGCAGACCGCTTTGTGTATGAACAAGGCATTCTCCCTGAGTCCCAGTCCATGCTGTGGATGCAGTATGGTTGGCTTAACCATGTGCTCACTAAAAAGCAAGTGAGTTGTTTTCAGTTTTGGAGTATCACAAAGCTGCTGTAAACATTTGGGTATGGATTTTTGTTGAAAATAAGTTTTTAGTTTTCTGGGATAAATGCCTCAGAGTGCAACTGTTGGGTTGTATGATAATTGCATGTTAGTTTTATAAGAAACTGTCGACCTGTTGTCTGCAGTGGCTGTACCATTTAAATTCTTAACAGCAGTGGATAGGTAACTGAGTTACCCATAACTTCACCAGCATGATGTCACTGATTTTTCTTTCTGCCATTCTGAAAGGTATGTAGTGGTACCTCACTGTGGTTTTAATTTGTATTTTCCTAATAGCTAGTGATGTTAGTCATTCATCATCACTTGTCATTTGTATATTCTTTTCAGTGAGATGTCTCTTCCTGTCTTTTGCTAATTGGACTTTTGTTTTGTTTTTCTTTTTTTTTTTATAGTTGGGTTTTGAGGACTTTTTATATATCCTATATACCAGTCCTTTGTTGGATATGTGGCTTGCAAATATTTTTTCCCAGTCTATGTTTACAAAACCCTTTTGATAGGAGCTGTATTAGATCTATAGATCAATCTGGGGAGAACTGACATTTTTACTGTGTTGAATCTTCCAATCCATGAACATGGTATATCTCTCCCTTTTTTTAAGGTCTTCATTGATTTCTTTCAATACGTTGTATAATTTTTAGCATACAAGTCCTGTGTAGAGTTTGCTAAGTTTATACCTGTTGACCTTAAAAATAAAGGTCAGTTATTTTACCAGAAAAAGAAAAAAGAGTTTACTCAGGAATAGCAAAGGATTGCAATGCAGGACAAGAAAGCTGCAGCCAAAATCATAGGCTAGTCCAACACACAAAGGAAAGGAAATGTTTTTTGAAAGAGAAGGAGGAGGGCACCTGGCTGGCTCAGCTGTTAAGCGTCTGCCTTCAGCTCAGGTCATGATTCCGGGGTCCTGGGTTCAAGCCCCACATTGGGCTCCCTGCTTCCATGGGAACCCTGCTTCTCCCTCTTCTACTCCCTCTGCTTGTGTTCCCTCTCTCGCTATGTCTCTCTCTGTCAAATAAATAAAATCTTTAAAAAGAGAGAGAGAGAGAAGGAGGAGGAAGTTTGGAGGGGTTGCTGGGAATGAAAGTCCACTGGAGAAAGGCAAGAGCCTACCATGATGGCAGTTTCTCATGGGCTGAGCTGCAGGGGTGGTTAATTTCTTGTGGGAGATGCAATGCACATCTTTTCCTCTTCTGGCATGTAACTGATGATTCTCTCCTATTAACAATTCTTCTTTTAGGGTCTGTACTGGCAATTTTTTTTTTTTAAGATTTTATTTATTTATTTGACAGACAGAGATCACGAGTAGGCAGAGAGGCAGGCAGAGAGAGAGGAGGAAGCAGGCTCCCTGCTGAGCAGAGAGCCTGACTGACTCGGGGCTCATCCCAAGACCCTGAGATCATGACCTGAGCCAAAGGCAGAGGCTTAACCCTCTGAGCCACCCAGGCACCCCTGTACTGGCAATTTTTGACACTGAATGGTACAGCATGAGAGCTCACGCATCTGGACTCCTGACTCCATTTTTGTCAAGGTTTCCTTTTATAAACTTTTACAGACCCAAGTATTTAATTATCTGAAGTAATTGTAAACGGTATTGTGTCTTTAATTTTCATTTCCACATTTTATTGTTGGCCTGTAGACATGTAACTGTGACCTTATTGAGCTGCCTACTCCACAGAAGAGCCCTAGGGATGGGGAGGAGGCCCCCGGCCCCCAGCGGAGCAAGAGAGTCAGAGGTGGAGAAGAACAAGAGTGCCAGGCCTGTATCATGTCCATTTATGTCAGCAGCATTGAGGTCACAGGTGACCTTGGGGAGAGTATTATTTGGAGAGTAGAAGAGATGTCTGCGGTGGACTCCTGGGCGGGGAGCAAGCTGGAGAGGAGGCTGTCCACCCACAGGGTAGTTCTTGTGAAAGAGAGTCGGCTGACACTCCCTCCTCTCTGCCTTCCAGCTCTCAGTTCTCTCCCCACCATGCCCCAGCTGTTTCCTCAGTTGTCAACTGCAACTGACAACTGGGGGAGGTCGACTGCCCCCAGTTTCACCCTTGTGACACTGCCCTTCTCCTGGGCAGGACAGGCTGGCCTTGGACTCCGCTTCCCCCTTGGCCAGCACCACCTCTGTCCACCACAGGGCCCAATCTAATGACTAGTCTGGACTGGAGGCTCTTTGCAAACTGACTCTAGCCTCCTCTTCCAAGCTGGCTTCCTGCTGCTCCTGGTGCCTTGTTTGGACAGCGGGAATTGGGGGAGGTGGTGGTGGAGGGGACCTTTCCACGCCCTTTCCAGGAAATGCGGACCTTTTGCGGGGTTGAATGACTTTACCGATGCCCCCCCACCTCCTGTACCCACCCACGTGCGCGCGTCCACCTCAACGACCACAGAGGTCGTGACCTGTTTGGCCCCTGACAGGAGACTTTGTGCCTGTTTCTGGGGCAGAGATTTCCTTCCTGGCTGGCTAATGGAGGAGGGTCCAACCTCGTCCTGCCCTAGGGGCTGGGACTGACCCCGAGCGGCCCGCCCCGCGCGCCTGGCACCACCTCTCAGGGCGGTCCTCTCCCAGGCGCCGAGTTGCTCAATCCGGCCAAAGGAGCGGCTGGCGATGGCGGGAGAGGGGGAGGACCGACCGGGCGCCGACGCGACCTCGGCCCTGGACGCGCTGCTGGGCTACCGAGCCTACGCGCGCCGCTGGGTCTTCCTGCTGGTGCTCAGCCTGCTGAACTTCTCCAACGCCACGGTACAGGGGTCTGGGGCGGCCTCCTGGCGCGGGCGCGGGCGGAGGCGGGCCGAGCGGGGACCCCGGTCCGAGTCATTGCGCTCCTCCCACCTGCCCGTGTCCTAGTGCGCCCAGGGTGCTCGGTCTGCTAGGCCTGGGCGGCGGGACCGCTGGGAGTGCAGGAGCCGGAGACCCAGCAGGCGCGGAGGCGCAGGGCCCCTTCTCCTGGCTGCATAGGGAGAAAAGGGGTTAGCGTCTGTCCTCGTGGTGGCAGAGCCTCTTTCCTGTGACCCATAGTGTTTTGAAACACTCCCTCTCCTGCGTCGGAGGACAGGGGTGTCACTGGCATAGCCGAAAAGGGGTCTTCCAGTTACCCCACCCTCCTGGAAGACCCAACACCTGGCAGCAAGCCTCAGATCCGGCTCCTGCCCTCCCTCTCCAGACTCCCCACCCCACCCACTCCCACAAGGCAGGGCAGGGCCCAGCCGCCTTTGCTGGCCTGTGCTGTGGGGGTCCTCACTGCATTTCTGACTCGGCATGTGGGGCTTCCTTATCTGTATGCCCAGTCTCTCTATAGCTCCCCAGCTGGGGTCTCCAGTGACCGGTTACCTGTTCTAGAATGGTTCCCACTGCTGGCAGCCACTCAGCCCCTGAGACCAGTTGATCAGCCACTGAGAACAGGATCTGCCAGTTATTGGGGACCAGCTCCCCAACCTGCTTGTCCCCAACTCACTCCGAGCCCCCAGGTTGTACTACCCAGGGCCTTGGGCCCCTCTTTCCCCAGCCCATCACAAACAGTGGGCTCAGTGGGGTGAGCTTTATGCTGCCCTAGCCCCTTGCCCCTTGGACAGATACCCATCTGCACTTGAATGGACAGGGGGTTTGGAGCCAGCCTTCCCACACCTGACCCTCACATGGCCACCTGCTCATGGGGTCAGACTGCAGTGCTGTCGCACACCACGCTCCGCGGGGCCACTCTTTCACTTCCCTGGTGCTGCCTGCTCTGCCTCCTATGTGTGCCTGAAGGAACCTGTCTACGACCACTCAGCTTATCACAGAACCCAGGGACTTGTCAGGCACATTTGGCCACCAGGTAATCATGTAATGAACAGCTACCTTGACAGCAGGCTCCACAGCTGCGGGAGGCTGTGAGTGGCCGAGGGACAATTGGGAAGTGCAGACTCATGAGCAGGGATGGGCAGGCAGGTGTGGACATTCTGGGCAGATGCTGCCTTGGGGATTCTTGAGCAGCAAATACTCCTGGATGTTATTCCACACTGATCAGGGCCTTTTCCCTCCTTTCCTTACTGGCCTGGGTATGGAAAGCCGGCCCTGTGCTGGGACAGGTGGCATCCATGGCCTGGCCTGAAGTCTCCTATGACTCTGGAAACCTCTTTTTTTTTTCTGTGGCTTCTCACCAGGTCCCTGTGTAGCTGACTAGAAGGCCAGAATTGGTTTTTGGTGCAGTGGTCTAAGGACACAGAGCAGGGGTCTCCTTCAGCCCCTAAAATGGCTTTGATGAGTCTGAGAGTGCATGGGTGTGGTGAGTGGCTTCTAGAACTTCCTTGGACACTGAGACAGCATCCTGCTTACTCCCCTTTGGTCCACGAGTTACTATGGAGCAAATGGGACTCTCACCAGGAACGGTGATCCCTGCTGTGGTCACCACAGTAAGCATTGACCATCAGGCTCACCCCAGCCAAGTCTACTCGTGTACTTGGTCTGCAGCTGGGTGGCTGCAGGTCCCACGTTCTGAGAGGGCAGTGTCAGAGGCAGGTGGAACAGTGCCTGGAGTGAGGCCCCAAAGGGGAGCAAGGAGACTGCCCAGTAGTCTGGGCAGGAACCAGCATGTGGAGCAACTATCAGCGCGCTCAGAGGGAGGTGAGGGGTTACCTGGCAGGGCTGGAGAAGGTTGAAGGGAATTCTTGTGCGCTGGGGACATACTGTTGTCCTCATGTTACCTGGCACAGTTCAGACCTGTCTCTGCTCTGCAGGCACAGACTTGGGGAGGAACAAGGAATGGGCTTGGCTCGGCAGGGCAGGGTTAGAGAACGGATACCAAGCCCTCTCTGCTGGATCAGGCTGGGCAGGAAGCAGCGGGACCTGCATGGGGTCTCCTTCTGCACCTGGAAGAGCTGTCCTCTGCTTTGTCCCTAAAAAAGAAAAAGGAAGAAAAGGCAGCTCTTGCTCAAGTTCTTTGTCATGTGAGGCCTGCAGTCAGTATCTGCTTGGGTCAGCAAGTCTCACCACGGAGGGTGTGGTCCTGGGGCCAGCTCCTGCATTCCTGTGTCTCGTAGAGTTGCAGTGATGGTGGACTTTGATTTGTGGTACCCTTGTCTTTGGTCCCTCCCTGACCTGCTTCGCATCTCTCTCCTTATAAGCCTTGGAGAGCCCCTCTTCTCACCCATCATCCTTCAGGGAGGAGACAGTGTCTCACCTCCACCAGGAAGTCTTCCCCACTGACCTAATTGAATGTACTGTTTGCTGAAGGTCTGTGGGGTTAAAAGTCCCAGTGTTTGACAGCACCTGAGGGTGGGAAATGTCACCTGTTACACTGTCAGGGAGGGTCTACCTTCCGAACACTTGGGTCTCCTGTAGGAAGGTGGGCTGGCCTTGGGCAGGGCCAACACACAATCCAGGGGTTTCCACCTGGGATTCCGAGTTTCTAGACAACCTGGAGATACCTTTTGGGCCTCTTTCTTTCCTCCTTCCCTGCCATGGAAACATCCCTTCCACTGTCCCTTCAATGGCTCCAAGCCCACCCTGCTTCCTACCCTTATCTACGTGGATGTTCACCACAGACACTGAGTGTCCCCCTTCCCCCAAAATGTGCTGCTCTGCCCAGCCATTTGGGCAATCTACACATCTGTGTGACTGAGGTGGCTGGGCCACTGGCTCCCCTCATCAGGATCTCCTTTTCTAGCCTCCCGGGCCCCAATGCCATCCAGCACTTGGCCTTCATGCCCACTCACTACATAGAGCTTCCCTTCCCCCTGCAGTCCTCTGCCTGTCACTGACATCCCTCTGGGCCTTCTCCTTAGAGGGTCAGTCTTGGCAGGACTCCCGGTCCTTTAGGCTCTGCTCCGGTCTTCGGCCTCTGTCTACCCGCCAAGACCGTGTCTGCGGGATGATCTGCTCCACATTCCAGGCACACTGTCTATCTGACCCCCGCACCCCTGCCACCTGGTACACTCCCTCAGAGGTGACTAGGTGAAGATCCTGGCCCTTATGGGACTGCTGGACATTCTCTGCCTCAGGCTGGCTGGCCAAGCCTGGGACAGCGGGTGGCTGTGGTTTCTGTGGTGCCCGGCCCCGGGACTGACACCAGTGTGTATCCACAGCTGTGGCTCAGCTTCGCTCCTGTGGCCGACACGATTGCCCACCACTTCTTCCTCTCCACCAAGCAGATCAACTGGCTTTCGCTAATCTACCTTGTGGCGTCCATCCCATCCGGCGTGGTGGCCATCTGGGTTCTGGACTCTGTTGGGCTCCGCTGGGCAGTGAGTTGGAAACCAAGCCAGGGCTGTCTCTTAGATGGGGCAGGGTCCTTGAGTAAGGAAGAGCTCAAGAGCCATTGCTTCCTCCCCGGGGGGTCTCCAGGCAGAGTCATTTGGGTGGCAGGGTAGTGATCAGGGTGCTGGTGGGGTGTCTGGGCTGGCCAGGCAGTGCTCTGTCCCTGTCCGTGTCCCTGCAGACCATCGTGTGCGCGTGGCTGAACTTTGCTGGGAGTGTGTTCAGAACTCTGCCCTTCCTATTCATCGAGATCCAGGACCCATTTTCCTCCCTCATGGCTGGGCAGAGCCTCTGTGCTCTGGCACAGACCCTGGTCATCTTCTCTCCAGCCAAGCTGGCTGCCTTGTGGTTCCCGGAGCACCAGCGAGCCACAGCCAACATGATCGGCACCATGTGTGAGTGACAGGGGTGAGGCTGATGGTCTTCTGGGGGTTGTGGCACCTCTGCACTCCCAGCTCTTGGAGGGCAAAGGGCCCTGGCTGTGGGCTGGAGACCAGGCCTGGCCATGGCTGAGCAGACATGTCTCCGTCTGTCCATCCAGCAAACCCCTTGGGCATCCTGGTGGCCAACTTGCTGTCACCTGCCCTGGTGAAGAAGGAGAAGGATATCCCTATGATGGTGAGAGAGCTCATGAGGTACATGCACACACGCGTGTGCATTTGTGTGTGGTGTATGTGTGCACAGTGGGCTCACATGTGCATATCTGTGTGGTGCATGTCTATGCATGATGGGCTAATATATACATACATGTGTGTATTGTGTGGTGCACATGTTTGCATGGTGAGCTCGTATGTACATACACATGTGCAAGTGTGTGGTGCATGTGTGTGGTGCATGTGTGTGCACGGTGGGCTCACATGTGCATAGGTGTGTGTGCCTGTGTGTGGTATATGTGTGTGCATGGTGGGCTTGCATGTGCATAGGTGTGTGTGGGTATGTAGTGCATGTGTGTGCATGGTGGGCTTGCATGTGCATAGGTGTGTGTGCCTGTGTATGGTGCATGTGTGTGCATGGTGGGCTTACATATGCATAGGTGTGTGCGCACGTGTGTGTGGTGCATGTGTGTGCACAGTGGGCTTACACGTGCATAGGTGTATGTGCGTGTGTGTGGTGCATATGTGTGCACGGTGGGCTCACATGTGCATAGGTATGTGTGCATGTATGTGGTGCATGTGTTTGCGCGGTGGGCTTGCATGTGCATACATGTGTGTTTATGTGGTATGTGCATGCGCATGTACAAGTGTGCCCACACCTGTCTGAGAGTGTGCCCCTGCCCCTCCCTGTGACCACATTGGCAAGTACATTTGGTGCCCACAGGATTTTTCCACATGCCTGAGGTGGATGTGAGGTTGAGGGGTAGGGGCTGCAGCCAGAGGCCAGTGTGTCTGCTGAGCAAGGGAAGGGTGGAAGGAGGGGTCAGTGCAGGTGGCAGGTGGTTGGTATTGATGATGGAACCTCTGGGAGTGTCTAAGGGGAGAGTGATTTGTCCTGGTCCAGAGATTCAGGGAGCAAAAGATGTGGCTGCACTGTGCAGGTAGGGAGCTAGGATTTTGGCTGGGTTGGGAAGTGGGGGCAGGCTCAGGCCAGGTTTGGGGAGTGCAGCTCAGTATGTGTTGGGGTCATTCACAAAGACAGGCAGAAAGGGTCAGTCAGCAGTTGGATGGGTGAGTCTGGGGCCCAGGGAGAGGGTTGGGCTAAGGGTGTCACTGTGGGAGTCATCTGCGGGGGATATTTTGGAAGCCTGGGTTCTAGAGGAAGCAGGGCAAAGCAGGCCCTGGGGCTTGCCTTTGTCTTCTAGGCATGGCTGGCAAGGGAGGCCCAGAACAGTGGGTGTGAAGCCCTGATGTGCATGTGTGAGTGCACACACACACGTGCACACACTCACGTATGCCCTCTCCGCAGCTGGGCATCTATATCATCCCTGCGGGCCTCGCCTGTCTCCTGGCCACTGCCTGCCTCTGGGAGAGTGTGCCTCCCAGCCCACCCTCTGCAGGGGCCGCCCACTCCACCTCAGAGAAGTTCCTGGATGGGTTGAAGCTGGTTAGTGCTGTGGGATCCAGGGCTGGGGTGACCTGGTGTGGGGAGAAGGCTGAGGAGGGAAGGGGGTTAGGACAGGCCCTGCTGGGGTATCCCCAGTATCCCACTCGCTCCCGGGCTGAGCGGCGCCTTCCCCTCCAGCTCTTGTGGAACAGAGCCTATATCATCCTGGCCGTGTGTTTCGGAGGCGGCATCGGCATCTTCTCCAGCTTCTCGGTTCTCCTGGAGCAGGTCCTTTGTGTGAAGGGCTACTCCAACGTGAGTGCTGGCCCCACCCAGCCCCCTCTCCTGTGCAAGGATGGGGCTTGGGGGCCATTGCTAGTACCCTGAAGACTGCCCCAAACACTGGGTTTCCATGCCTGAACAGGGTAACCTCCTCTTATGGGTGGTATTGAGACGTTGTGTGTGAAATGTTGTGTTGGGTGCCAGAGGCAGTCTGATCGTGGGGTCGTGGCCTTGGGGAGGGGTGGTGGCAGTGCCCAGAGATGTGCTGGGATTTTGTGTGGCTCTTTTCACTATCTTTCCCACTGCCCCACCCACGTTGGCCCCAACCCTGTGGGTCTCCAGGGAAGGGTCGTCCTCTGATATTTGGAGATTGGGAGGGCCTTGCTCTGCTCATAGCATCTCTGGCCTTGCCCTCTGCTGCCTGGCATCAGCCCTGGGTGTGGGATTCAGGCCTGGTATGTTCCAAACTCGTGAGCAGCACACGGGCACCCCTCAGTGCCTTTTCCTTTAGCAACTGTTGGGTTCCTGGCGTGGGGTGCCACAGGAAAGAGGCACCTGGGGGGGATGTGCCATCACTCACTCATGGCTAACCATGCAGCTGAGCTTTCCATGTCACCCTGCCGCTGGCTTCTCGGCTATGGCATACACCCTGAGGATGGGGTCCTTCTCCTGGGTCCCTGGTATCACCGTGACCCAATGATGGGGCACCCCTGACCTCCTCTCCTCCAGGAATTTGCAGGCCTTTGTGGGGCTCTCTTCATTGTGTTCGGAGTCCTGGGGGCACTTGTTCTCAGCCTGTATGTGGACTGGACCAAACAGTTCACTGAAACTGTCAAGATTGGCTTCTGTCTGACCTCCATAGTCTGCGTGGCCTTTGCGCTGGTGAGAGTCCCCTTGAACCAAGACCACCCTACAGGGGTGTAAGTGGGATGCTCTGGGACAGGGCAGCTGACAGATGGGTCAAAGCAGGAATTCAGACCTTCTCAGGCTTAGACACTGCCCACTGGGGTGGTCCCCGACCCTGGCCACTGGCCCATCCCTGCTCCCTGCTCAGTTGAGAGGGGGTGCTGGTGCAGGGCTGGGCTGGGGCTGGGTGTCCATGCTGCGCACTCTGACTGGTGCCCCATCTCTCTATGTGGCTCACCATCCCCCTAGGTGTCTCAGCTGCAGGGACAGACCTTGGCATTGGCCGCCATCTGCTCACTGCTGGGGCTGTTTGGCTTCTCAGTGGCGCCCATCGCCATGGAGCTGGTGGTCGAGTGCTCCTTCCCTGTAGGTGAGGGTGCAGCCGCAGGCCTGGTCATCGTTCTGGGGTGAGTGTCTGTCTCTCCACCGCTTCCCTGGGGACCCCAGAGTCCTTGTCCTCACCCCAGCCCTGGCTACACAGTGGGTAACCAGCCTGCTCGGGCGAAGGCCACCGTGTTCTGAGCTGTGCAGTCCTGGGCTAGCTGCCGTGCCCCACGCTGAGCAGAACAGGACACTGGCCTCAGAAAGCCCAGTGGCACTGTGAGTACTGAGCAGTGCCCAGGGCAGGGCTGAAGGCCTTGTGTCTGTCCAGGCAGGCCGAGGGTGTGCTCATCATGGTCCTGCTGACTGCCCTGACCGTTCGTCGTGCGGAGCCGTCCATCTCCACCTGCCAGGATGGCCAGGGCCCATTGGACTGGACGGGTGAGTGCCCCCACCTGCATAGAGACCCCAGAGCACAAGTGAGGAGGTCGGTGCCTGGGCCTTCCTCACCCCCCTCCCAGTGCTGGAACCTCCCCTCCATGGGCCCCTTTCTCTTGGCACCTTTCACTCTCCTTTGCATGCACTGGGCACCCACAGGGCAGGGGTCCGGGGGGGTCGGAGGGCAACGAGGCTGACCTTTCCCCTCCAAGGCTCACTGTGCTGGGAGTAGGCCTGAGGCCCTGGTGAAAGCCCAATGTCTGAAACCCATGTGAGTCATTTTGAAATGAGACCAGGGAAAGAGACAGGGAGGCAGAGAGAGACGGGGGTGAGGTGGCCACATCTGGAGATCCCATACTGCTGACCTTGGAGCTCACCACATCTGGGTCTGTGAATGCCCTCAGGGCCTGTTGGGAGCTGGGACAGATGTTTCCAGGTCCCTCTCTGCTCATGGCTAGTGGGGTCAGCTGGAGCTCTGCCAGATCTGTGGGTACTCTGGGTTAGGGGTGGGGAACTCTGGCTGCTTGAGTGAGCCTCAGAATAGAGCTGGGCTATGTCTCCCCAGTGTCCATGCTGCTGATGGCTGGCCTGTGTGCCCTCTTCAGCTGTTTCCTGGTGGTGTTCTTCCACACTCCGTACCGGCGCCTGCAGGCTGAGGCCCACGTGAGCCACTCCATCCAGGAGGACACGTCCCCAGAAACTGCGGATCACGAGCCCCGCCCAGCAGCTACGCCCTGAGGCTCCACGTGGGCACGCCCCCACCACCTCCAGCACAGACTGTAGGAAGCTCAGGCAGGGGCCACTCATTCCCAGCACCATTCTCCTGGCCCTACCTGCTTGTTTGGGGGAGCCCTGAGCTGCTGGAGGCCCCGGGACCTGCAGAGAGGTCACAGGGGTCCCTGCAGAGTTCTGGAAGCCAAAAGAGCCATCAGTGCATCAAGAAGTGGTCCTGGGGACATGAAGGGGTGGCCAAGAGGGGTGGGCTCTGGTCCCAGGGTGACAGCATCCAGCAGGTGCCAGAGGGATTTGGAGTCCTTGGCACACCCAAAGCACAGCAGGATGACCTAGGGGAGACCCTGTGGCTAGAGCAAGAACTGCTGGTGCAGCCACCGGGCAGGCAGGTGCCCCAGTGGCCAGGCCAGACCCAGGGTGGCTGGCGCAGGAGCAGTGTATGCGGGATGGACCTGGCTTGAGGAACAAGGGCTGAGGGGAAGCCTCATGGATTGGCAGTCCTGAGGGCCCCTGGCATGACTGAGGCTGGAGTGGACAGTTGTGAGAAACGGCTTCCTTGAGGAATCCCAACCCATACCTTTTCTCGACCTCTGCCGACTGCAGAGTGACTGACTCCCGGAGTGAGTTCGAGGACAGCAGGTGGAGTCGGGCTGCTCTGGGAGGGGGAAGCAGAGGGAGGGCCCTACAGGCAGAACCTCCCACTCCAGGCAGATGCTCCCACCCCTACGAGACCCTTCCCCTCCAGCCTCTCCCAGTTCCAAGCACACACTTCTACCCCTCAGGGGTCCTCCCCCAAACTCTCCCCAACAAGGCAGACACTTCTCCCAGCCCTAGGCAGAAGTCCCGCACCTGCAGACCCTCCCACCTCCAGGCGGACACCTTCTCTCCCCCTCAGACTCTGGCAGGCAGGTTTATGCGTTCATGTTTATTGAACTGGCTGCAGCCCAGGTGGGGATGGGGGAAACGTGCCCCTCACTCCTCCTTCTCCTCCCCGTGGGTGAGCACGTAGCTCAATGCCTTATAGTCCAGGTTGCCTGCAGCATCGATGGTAGCAAACTGGAACATCTGGTCCACCTGCAAGCCGGTCCGGTTGGGGGAGTCAGGCCCAGGGAGGAGGGGAAGGAACACAATGGTCTGGTGAATTATAGACACTGAACTCCAGCCAGGTCCAGGGTGGTTTTTGCTTGTGGGGGTGGGGGAAAGGGAGGTTGGGGGGGCACACGGCAGAGCCAGGGTTGGGGTTGGGGTATCCTGCCCACCCTTCTGCTGCAACCTCAGGGGGGCCCAGGGTGAGTCGCCCTAGCTAAACCCCCTATTCTTGAGCTTCCCAGAGGCACATGGGGTAAAGAAGTGGGGTGAGGGCAGAGTGGGCCAAACCTCTTCAGCGGTCATCTTGTCTGCCTGGGACATCAACAGCCGCTTGATGCTGAGGAAAAGGAGGGAGGAGCCAAATTAGGCTGCACTGAAGAAAGGGATTGGCACTGGAAGAACTGGAGGGGTAGCCCCAGGGAAGCCCCATGACTTGGGTCGATTCACACTGTTGGCTCTTCCACCATGGGATACCCCAAGGCGGGGGTCTGGTCACCCTACAATCCCACCCACTCACAGCACAGGTGCCTCTCAGAAGCCTGACTAAAGGGTGAGTCCTGGGCACCAGAGAGTGGTTGTCAGGGAGTCTTTCCTGATGCACGCTCTGGGGTCACCACCCCTGGGGGGGGGGCTCCATCTGCAGGGAGGAAACTGGGGGGTTAGGGGCAAGTGCCTGGTATACCACATAGGCCCACTCCCCCCAAAGGGCTTAAAGACCCAGTGATGGTCCAAGTGGTGATGACCTCCCAGGCCACTGGCTGGGCAAGACTGGTTTTGCCCTCAGTTAGGGACTCAGGATCTTGGGGACAGGCAGCCTAAGGCCTGGGGACTGAGGTGGGGTGAGGGGAGGTGGGCTTGGCAGCCCTCAGGGGTGATGCCTAGGTGCCCGTAGCCACACTCACTAGTCCTTGTTGATGCTGCCTTTGCCATCAGGATCCAGCATCTTGAAGGCATTTAAGATGGTCTCCTCAGCATCCGTACCTGCCCACAAAAGGCCTTCAACTGTTTAGGGCTCCAGTCCTGCTCTGGGCCATCCCAGGGCTTGGCCTGTATGTCCCTCCAGCACTTGAGCACTACGGAGACCCTGCAGCTCCCACTCTGAGGGGCCTGTGGGTCCCCAGAATCCCGCTTAGGTCTAAAGGTGGAGTGAATGCTCGGTGAGTGAAAGACAGGTTATCACCACTAGGCAGACGGGAGGAAGGATGAGCTCACTGCCACATGTGTGACCCACGAATGTGGGTACCAGAATATCAAGACCTAGGGCTTTTCAACAAATCTGAAAATCAGGATTTTTATGTGAAATCTGAATTTCTGAGTGTTAGGAGTTAACAAAACACACAGTGCCTTGGCAGACTGGCCTGAGGGCTGCCCTTGGCCAGGGAGGAGCCTGGACCCTTGGCTCTCACCTGTCAGCTTTGCCCCAAACATATTCAGGAACATGGTGAAGTTGATGGGCCCCGAGGCCTCCTTGAGCATGGCATCCAGCTCGTCATCCTTGATGTTGGTTTTGCCTATCACCAACACAAGCCAGGCAGGAATGTCACATCCCCCCGGCTGTCCTGCTGTTGATGCATCCGCTGTCCCCATTGGTCTCCCACCACTATCACTCAAACTGGGAAGGCCAGAAGGAGGGAGGTGAGCCAGTGGGGGGGGGTGTCACATGGCCCAGGTGTGGGGGCCCAGGTCTGCATGTTAGCAGAACCCAAACCCTGAGCCCTGGGGAGATGGGCAGCTGGGGAGGAGGAAGAGGTCATGCGTGTAGCCCAGGAAGACCTGTGATCTGCTTACCTGAGTGTAAGGGGGCCCAGAGGAAAGAAACCTACCCGTTCTTCCCTGGGATTGCCTCAGGCTGAGAATGTGCCCCCAGATGGGAAGTTGAAGAAGAAAGGGCCAGCCTTTGGCTCTTCAGAGGACCACGAGCTGCCCTCCGCCTCTTCTCCCAAGTCTGTTTCTGGGCTTCCTTGCCAGGCTTGGGGGAAGGAGGACAAGCCTCTCCATGGAGTGGTATCCCTCTGGGGTCTTAGTGCTTCCCTGGGGCTTTGGTCCCAGCCTCCCATCCAGAGTGCCCGTGCTTCAGCTGTGCCACCCACCCCACCCTGGGATGCCCTGATCAAGCCAGAGGGATCTCTTCCCTAGGGGAGGCCCAGCCTGCCACCTTGCAGCCCATGGGAAATGGGTGTCAGGTCAGGCTGTAAGGCCCAGGTGCAGAGCAAGTCTCTCCAGGACTGAAGGACACCCCGAGGCGGGCTGTGGTGGAGTTCTGTCCCATGGCACCTACCCAGTGAGGCGTACGTGTCCTTTAGGTCCTCCTTGTCGATAAAGCCATCTCGGTTCTGATCCATTAGTGTGAATGCCTGAAACCCAGGCCAGTCGCACCATGTTAGGATAGGCATCTACTCTCACTGGCTCCAGAGTGAGGCTCACGTAGGGTCTTTCGGTCAACTGCATTACGATTCACAGGGGACCCCTTGGGCAGGAGTTACTGGGTGGAGTGGTTCTGGGACAAAGCAAAGCCTCACCTCCTTGAACTCCTGGATCTGGGTCTGCTCAAAGTTGGAGAAGACGTTGGATGATGCCCTCTGGGCCCGTAGGCCCCCCCCTTCCTTCTTCTTAGTCTTCCTGCTGGCCTAACGTGAGAACACCAAGGCTGAGGGGCCTGCAGGCTGGTGTTTTGGAAGACAACACAGAGGATGGGTAGACCATGGCACTAGGGGTCCCAGGGGGACCCCAAGCCTGGGTCAGGGCAGCCCTGACCAGGTCCTGACAGCACGCACCCAGGGCTCGTCTTGAGCTTGGCCAGGACCCAGCTGGGCCTAGACGTCCAAGGAGCAAACGGACCATGCAGGCGGCCAGCAAGTGGGCAGGCCTGGTCTAGGGACCCTTCCAGTGTGAAGACCAGGACCCTCATCTTCCAACCACAGATGTCCCTGAGGCAGCCATGGGGCAGAGATCTTCCCCACCTAACACCCTCACACACAGAAACTCAACTCGTGTGTGCACACACACACTCCCACAAATCACACTCATGTAGGCAAAACGCATGTACACACAGTCACAAAGGCGCACTCTGTACAAATGCAGGCATACTCACACCCACTCCTGCCCCAGTGGCCTGCTGTCCACACTCACCATGCCTGGATGTGCCTGAGGCGATGGTCTGTGCCCTCCCTGCCCAGGTCGCCTGTCTTAAGCTCCTGCCCAGTCCCCCAGGACAGCTCAGACTCTGGCTTCCGCTCCCTACAAGGACAGGCTGGGGCCACCCTGGGGACTGGACAAGTGCAGAGTGAGCTCTGGCACCTGGCGGGTGACTCAGATGCCCCCATCTTCCCCTGCTCAGCAGGGGCCCCAGCTTCCCAGGCACCTCACCGAGAAGCTTGTTGTCCTGTTTTCTGTGCCTCTCCAGGGCCACCTGCATGTGGACCCAGGAGGCTGCAGGAGGCAGAGGAAGGGGGACCTTTCCTAGATTTGCCCAAAGTCACTGTGAGTGGCCTTGGAGTCTGGTGACCAGGCATTCTCTAAGCATGCTGTGTGTGCCCTCGCCTCCCTGCTTCACTGGGGCCCCATCTCTCCCCTTGGCAGGTGGCCCCTTGCCTGGCACAGAGTGGGGATAACATGTCTGGGATGGAGGACCATCCAGATGGGTTGGGCCCTGGGCCAGCATTCAGACAGGTTTCCCTACTACATTATGGCCCAGCAGGCGGTCTGGGGAGGGGAGCTGGCCTAGGTGCCTGTGTGTGTGTGGGGCAGATATTAGCGGTCAGCACAGGGTCAGGGGCTGGGTACCCTAGTCCTGGGCTGCGGGGAGTACAGGCTAGGGGCACGAAAGAGTGAGAGCTAGAAGGCCTGGGGACAGAATGAAGTGGGCACTCAGGACTGTAGTTTCACACCCAGAGAATAAGCCCTCAGAGCCCCTTGTACCTGCAGCTTGGAGGGAGGCATCAGCAGCAGGGGTCCCCTAGGGCACACTTGGGAACCACATCACATGTGAGTGCCACCGTGGCAGGTGTCCTGCCCCCAGGGGCATAATCCTGCAGTCACATGACACCTCTGTGATCCCAGGGGTAGCCCACCATTTGCCTGCCCTGAGTATGGGACAACAGACACCCTGTGGACTTTAGAGAGGCATGACCCACCAGGGGGGAACGGGGAGCTCCCTGGGGTTCTGCCTGGAGGATTCCCAGAGGCAGAACACATGACTAATGTGGGAAACCTGGGCTGGGCTGTACTCCCAGTTGGGCAGGGTTTGACAGTGGTGCTTGGAGAGACCCTAGGAGGGCTGGAGGATTGGGACCACCACACTGAGAAGGGAAGGCATACAGGATCTGTGCTCAGAAGGTCCCTGATATGGGAAAGGCCAGAAGACACGGGCAGAGCCCCTGGGGAGGTTTCCTGGGCTGGCAGCACTAAAGATAGCCATGGAGCCTGGCTCCAGAGAGAATATCAGGATTCAGAGTAGACAGCTGGCCCTGACAGGTGCAGAGGTGTCAGCCAGTGGTTCCTGTGGTCCGAGCCAGATGGGAGCCCCCTTAGCCCTCCGGAAGGGCCCAGGGCCAAAGTGAGTCTCCCCCAGCTTCAGGGATCTTCCCCATGTGTATATGGGCATGTGTACCTATGTGTCCCCCCCACCAACCCCCCCACCCTGTCCCACTGGAAGCTACTGTTAGGTGGTCCTCTACCAACACCCTGGCCTCACCTTCAGCCCAAGAGACACTTATTTTTGATTCTGGAAGCAGGAGTTGCTGATGAGTCTTGTTTATTTTAATGTCCAGGGAAGGAAGAATATATTTATCAGCTGAGGTCATCTGCCTAGATGCTCAAGGGCAAGGATGGGGGTGGGGTGAGAGTGGGGAGTGTGCACTCAGCATCACCACACCCATGTTGGTTGAAGATGTTTATTTTGTGCCTTGTGGGGTCCATGTGTGCTTACAGCACCCTCAGGGAGCAATGAGGGGCTTGGGAAGGACTTCCCTCAACCCCTGGCAGAGGCAGTCATGGATGATATCAGGCAGGGGTCCTCAGAGAGCTCAGACAAGAGCCTGGTGGCCCTACAAGATGGGCCTCCCCGTTCCCAC